CCGGTGGGCAGTTCTCCCCCGCTACTCGCGAAAGACTTCTTCCGGTGGGCTGAGACTGCATCGTGCCATGTGCGCGAGACCCGGTCTCGTGGCGGGCATGGCAACTGCCTGGCCGGTCCCCTTATTGCGCACGAGCGAGAGCCGGCCGGCGGGCGGGCAGGCGGAGAGAGAGAGGGTAGGGGCACCGAGGTAACCTTGGTACCACGGGGCAGTGAGGTGTTCCCTTTGGTTAGCGCGGGCTTTTATCCGGAAATAATCATGGGAACGGCCGGTATGCCCTTCGACAGGGCATCGAGAAGCAAAAGAACCTAGGCGGTGATCACGGGAAGGCGGCGCAAAGAGCGTATCTATCACGGACGAATGGGGTAATGGTGGTGGCTGTGGGGAAGCGGGCAGCCAAGTCAAGACAGTGGTGGTACCGGTACCGGATGCAAGTCAGTGGTTGCGGGTTCCGCTGGCTGGTCGGGTGATGGATGATGGCTGTGTCAAGTTGTGTTTGTGCATTGCGTGTCTCGTTCGTGTGAGTGGGTGGATGGGGTAGGTGGAAAGAGTCGGAGACATGGGTGGGTGTGGGTGGATTGATTGGGGGATCAAAGCTCCCGTGGGGCGCCTTAAAATCTTGGAGCTTGAGCTCTGCCCACGGGGAAAGCGAAGCGGGCTTTGACGTCGTGGGGGGGTGTCTTGGATTGCCTGTTTCGGCAACGCGTGCGCCCTCTTATCGCTTTCCCACGAACTTTGCCTCCTGGTGGCTTCCGAAGCTTCGATGATGCGCCAGCTGCCAGTAGACTGTGGCCGATCGATTGATGAAACCCGCCCGCAGCAGCGGAGCCGCTGCCAGGACGCGAAGGCGGCGGCGGCGGCGGCGGCAGACTGGGACGGCGCGCGACCGAGGGGGCTAGGTGCCAGACACCGACGGCAGACGTGGCTTGGAGCTTCCACGCAGCAACAAGCAACAGGCAACACGTGGGAGTTACGTAGCGCTGATGCGTCGAGCAGCGGCCGCGAAACGCGCTCCGCCGGTGCCGGTGCCGCTACGCTCTCGCAATCCGTGACCGCTGGGCGCCGTGGCATCCTCCACCCCGTCCACCTCGTCCACCTCCTGCCCCTCTTGACGTAACGCAAACGCCCCCGTGCGGCTGCGTCGGCTCCCTGACGGACAGCAGCGGTTGTCTCGAGCGGGCTCCGCTGGGGCCTGGCCTGAGGCACGACCAGGCGATAGGGCGGGCGTCGGTCCGCTCTCGAGGCCCGGCGACCAGGGAAGGAAAAAGGTTGGTGGCTGGTGAAAAGGGCTGATGATGAGACGCCAGGGTCAGCTGCGGGATGAGGCAATGCTGGGACAGGTGCGGGAGCCTAGACCAGTCGGCCGGCGGGCCTCATCAGCATCCTGTTTGTGACGGCGATCGGGGGTGCTGATTGCCGCTTCTGGCGGTGCGAGCGGAGGGATGCAGTACGTACCGAATTCGACTAACATAAATCCGTGTTGTTTGTTCTCGACTGCTTCTTGGCTCCACCCGGCCCCCGCCGGGCGCTGTCGAGGCTGATGAGTGGTGCGAGGCTGGACCTTTCGCAGGCGTGGTTGAGTGGTTGAGCGGCGCCAGCGGGGGCGCACGCGCATCGTCGGGCTGACAATGTGGTGACTGTTGCTGCTAGCCGCCCGCGCAATTCGCCGCGGAGGATTTCAGTCCACCCAACGTCCTTTTCTTCGAGCTGGCCGTCCGCCATCGTCCAAGGGAAGCGCCATCACGCAACCGCCGATTGCATTGTGGAGTGCATGACAGGGATGTCCCGGGCGCGACGGGGCAAAATGTGGAGTCCCTCTCTGGCTACCCCGGACAGGCAACGACAACAGTGCAAGCTGGCATCTGGGCTTGCTTGCGCGCGCCTGCGTGTGTCATCAACTTCTCATCGGGCCACTCGATCGCGGGCCTTGCATCCTGGGGCGGGCGTGGTCAGGGGAGGCCTGCCAGCGGCGCAGCGCTGGCCGACTCCATGACACCATTCGCCGTCGGCTGCGCGCGCTTCAGCGTCGTTCGGCGCGATTGGCTAAAAGTCGTGCCGGAGGCGTGGTGGTTGGGTGCGGAGCACAGCGAAGCCCAGCGACGCCCCCAAGGCTAACACGCGCAGGGCAGGCACGGCAGGAAACTTCGCCATTCGCAAAGCTGCACGTACAGGATGCCAGGCGCGCTGAAAAAGCGGTGAGCGGGAGCGCTGGACGCGTACCTGTTCAGGCATGCATGTGTGTGGTGTTGCTGCAATGCACGCTGCATGCAAGTGCAAGTGCAAGCACCGGCTGCTCGCAGCTGCAGGCCCTCTTTGCAAAGTAACGAGATGCTCACTCCACCACCCGTGAGCCCGACCCCGCGGAGCCCTGCAGCCGGGTGCCAGATAATGCGGGGATCTGCAAAACTTCTCCCTCTTTCCACCCGCCGCTTCTACCCTTTCGCTCCCCGCACGCTGATACACGTCTCGTGTGCAACCTCCACTGGCCCGCTGTCGGCGCCCCGCGCCGCCCTCCTCTCCGCTGCCCAGGGCTCGTCAACTCGCAAACAGCAAAGGCTCGCCCCATCGCTCTGTGCAGTAGCAACCATCTACCAGAGCTCTCCCCTCACGCCCGTTTCAAGAGCAGTGAAAGTAGTTGTAGATCAACAGCACGGGCCACTCAACCGTCGCCCGGAACCCACTTTCCAGTACACTGACTGCTAAATTGACTCCTAATTGCTGCTATCTCGCATCACGGAGTAGTACCGCCCACTAGATCGTAGCGTCTGCAACGCCATCTCGGACTGATAAAGACCGGAACTCGAAATCTTCCGCCATCCTTTCTACTTCGTTTGGAGCAAAAAGGCATGTCTCATTAATTTCTCATGATAGCTCATCATTCTGTGCCACGGCTCTTCACCCCTCGCTTTCTAGTAAAGGAGGAAAGGATGGGCGCAAGGAACAGGTTCGAGATGCCGAGACGACCCCACGGGGCGTGCATTCGTAGTAGGGTCCGGCTAGTAAGCCACGGACCACCCACGCAAACCGCACCCGACAGGCCCCCCAAGAACAAAAAAAAAAAGTGAAGCCGGGGTAGCGGGGAAGAAGCGCTATCAGCCGGGAGAATCTTCCATCTGATTGCTGGATAGAGCTGTGTCACCCTTGGTCTTCTCCCCGCATAATGCTTCGGAACCAGGGATGCGGCTGTCAGGTGGCGGCGTAGGCACACTAGGCCTTCACTTGGACACGGGCGACGACTCGCCGTGGGGAGAAGAAAAAGGGTGTGCGGCGATTATTGATGAGATACGAGTCGTCTTTGATGAATGATATGCGTTGCGCCCCGGGACGTCGGGAAGGAGGGCCCCCCGAGTGGGGAAGATGGCGAAAATTGAACGGGTTCTCAGCCTGATAGCGCACCCCTTCCTTGGGCCAACCATCCCATCAAATTACAACTGGAACAACAAAGGGAGGAGGCGTGGGGAAGCCGGGGCTACTCCCGGGTGAACAGGTACCGGGCCCCCCCCCCCCCCCCCCCAGCACTGTCCGTCGGTTTCAGCCAAAAACGGCGTGGGCTTTGGTCACCATTATCTACCACACACCCAAGTGCTCTATGTGCTTTGAGGCGAAAGGAAGCTGATTCGTACGCGAATGGGAAACTTATTTCCGCATTCCCGCTAGCCTCTCCCGCAAATCTGGAGAAACTGGCTAAGGAAACCTGCCTGCGGGCGCTCCTTCCTCTTTCTCCCCATTCCCACCCCTGGATTCGTTCTCCATGGGGAAATCCGCAGCGCCCCCCAAGAAAAATGTGGGGTTGGTACAAAGAAAAAAAGCAAGTACACACGTCAACGCTAATTTCGAAGGCTGGCCATCGCAACGCCGTCTTCCCGCCGGCCACACGGAAAAATAGAGAATAACGGAATCCCAATGATTGCGGTGCTCTTGTGCTTGCCCGCCCATCTTGCCGCGGGTACGCGAGGGGAGAGGGAGGGAGGGCGCGACGAGGAATGGAATCAGGGAGAAAAGGTTGAGGAACCCGGAAAGTCCAGGGCGCAGACGAGGTGTGACGGGCAAGCATGCTTACGTATCTGCGTCATCAGCCGATGGTTGTCTGATGTGTGCAATTTTTTCCTCTTCTCTGCATCTGTCTTCACAACCCGATCTCTCGACCTTTCGATCCCCAGGCAGGTGTCCGGTGGATGGAATGGCGCCAATCTGCATGGCTGGGGTGCTACAGCCAGCCTAGCCCGTCCGATCGTCGTGCTTCTTGCCTGCTGGGGCTGCGTCAGATGCGAACGAGATCACGTCACACGCACGCACAACGTCCACACTGGCTCGTTTCTGATGGTGAAATCGCGAAATCAATCTGCTCGCTTGTAGAGGTCACGCCGCGTGTCATGGTAGAGCGTTTGGTGATGGAAATAAGAACCGTGACTTTTTGAATTAGGGGAGTAGAGTGCGTTCTCCAGACAGGCTAAATCTATCAAAGCTGTCGAGCATGTTCGATCCATCGCTCCGGAGAGACGTGCTTCAGTCCTCTCTGCCGTTGCCCGAAAAATAACAACTAGGAAATATACATCGTGCGAGTCTACCATGACCGCGGAGGGGGTATGATTGAGCCTTGCGTTGACACCCGCAAACACCGGTCCAGATCTATAAAAGCAACAAGCAATAACGTCAATCAATCAACAGAGAAAGGAAAATGATAGCGCGGTGTGGCTATTATGAGTGAAGAGTAAAGCGTGACCAAGTTTCGCCGTAGGATGCCACGTTGACGTGCATCTCTTTGTGCCCATTTCCCGTCTATAACCCAGAAACGCTGAAAGTCGCTAAGCGCAGCCGAAAGAGGTCGTACCAAACCGAAACGCCCAGTATCATGCATTTGATGTTGGTGGCTCAATAGCGATCGCCGAGATCGTTGCCGGCGACCGATCCAGTCGCAGAGTTGCTGCCTGAGGAGAAGCCACTGCCGGTGTTCAGCAGGTCCTGGACAGCCACCTTGGGCGCGGGCGGAACGGGCAGTTTTCTTTGAGAGCCGTCCTGTCTCGAGATGATGTCGCCTATCCTGAGACCGCCCGTCTGGCTGGGGATGTAGGGGACCTCGCCATTTGCCGAAGGCTCCATGGGGGCGAGGGCGGGGACGTGCTGGAGCGAAAGGTGGCGGATGTGAGGAAGCTGCACGTCGTGCAGGCCGTGTGGCCGGAGGCGCGGCGAGTGCGCAGGGGTAGCGAGCGGCGTGTGGTCAGGCGTGGGGGAATACGAGTCATGTGAGAAAGTTGGCGAGGGCGGCGCGGTCGACAAGGGCGATCCAGGGCGAGACTTCTTCGTCATACGGTGTGCGTACTGGTCGTCCTCCTCGTGCGAGTGCGAGCGAGACATGGGCTGCGACGAGTAGGCATAGGCGGCCAGTCCGGTGACGCCAGGAAGACGGCCGTTGTTGTTGTAGTGCTGGTGCGAGCCGAAGTGGCTCGGTCTCGAAGGGAAGGAAGGAGCGTGCTGCTGCTGCTGCTGCTCGACCTGAGAGGCAGCCGTGGCCAGGATGCCCATGGAGCTGGTCGGGTTCGACCTGTTGTACGCGGCCAGGCCGGGGAGGTTGGAGTAGCTGGAGTAAGAGTGCGGGGGAGAGACGTTGGGCGAGCCAAGGTTCGAGCCAGGCGCGGAGCGGGAGATGGGCTTCGAGGGCGGGGGCATCATGTGCGAGATCTGAGCGCTGTCGAGCATTCCACCGCTGGCCACGGCCTGGGCGGCGGCGACGGCGGCGGCATGCTGCTTGTTGCCCCGGCGCGAGTTGGGGTTGTTGTGTATCCTCGAGTGACGGGTGAGCTCGTCAGAACGGGAGAAGCGCTTGGTGCAGCCGGGGAACTGGCAGGCGTGGGGCTTCTCGCCCGTGTGGGTGCGGATGTGGCGGGTCTGGTGCTCAAGGCGGTGGAAGGCCTTGTCGCAGAGCGGGCACTTGTAGGGACGCGGCAGGTCCTGCCGGTGGTCCTCCTGGTGAGGCTGCGCGTTCTGAAGCATTGAGCCCATGAGACCGACGGGTTGGACTGTGGCAGCGGCCATCGAGGTGTTGGTGGCGGACGTGGAGGCCGACGGACTGGAGATATCAGGCTGGGTGGAGGGCGTCTCGGGGTTCAGCAGATTTTTGAAATCTACTGCAGAGGTTGACTGGTGCATGTGACAAATAGCACCGCGGGTCCTGAGGCGGGAGCGTGGTGGTTTTTGTGGTGGATGGTGCTGGGATGCGGGAAGGTAAGGCGAGCGAAAACCGGAGAAGGGGTGGGAGGGGCGGACGAAAATCTTATAAGAGCGCGCTCGGGTGAGCCGCGGGTGACGCAGCGCAGGCAGAGGAAACGTGGGGAACGAGGAGCCGGGTGCTGTGCAGTCAACGAGGATCAGCCGGAAAAGCAGGAGCGGCGCCAAGCCCGAACAGTCGAGCCGGGAGGGAGGAATTTTCTGCGCGGGCTGGGGCGCGCGAAGGGGTGCGCTGGGGCTGATAGCGCTGGTTAGACGGGACAGGGGGCCGCGCGCACAAGCGGCTGTGGGGACTTTCGCTGGCCTGGGGCTGGGGCCTTCAAGGCTTTATTTCGGTGCTGCTTTTTTGCGCCTCAAGCGCCGGCGCCCGCGCCCAGCCAGCAGCCAGAGCGGCGGTGCGCTGGGCGTAGCGGCGAGGGCGAGGGCGAGGGCACCGGGCGCTGCTCCCTGCTCCAGCCCGGGGCATTGGACGTGGCAGCCGCCGCCGGGGCATCGCGGTGCGCGGGCACCGAACCGCCGGCGCCGGCGGAATCCACGCAGGGTGGAAATGTGGAGATGCGTTTCGCCCACCGGCACGGCCGACGTAACAGCTCGACAAATTTTCAGCTGATGACAGCGCAAGACAGATGACAAATGGCGCCGGCCGTCCCCGTTGAGCTTGCGCGCGTTGCCTCTGCCTGACCGCCAGCCTCGCGCTCGATCGCCTCTTATCAGTCACCAGGCGCAGCCGCGCGATCAGGCGCGACCAGGCGCGGCCAGGAGCGCGTCAGGTGGCGGGCGAGCCAGAGATAAGGGCCGGCAGAGGGAGCAGCAGCCTGATGGACATGAAAGCATCTCCACGTTCTGCTAGGCGCCGAACGGGCAGTGGTGGCGCAGATCCGGGGTTGGCGGCGACGACGACGACAACGAGACGCTGCAATGCGCCCGCAGCCCTCGGCCACGGCCTGCCCGACGCTGGAGTCAGAGCTGCTGCGCGCTGATGCCTAGGAGCGACCCGCTTGCGACCGGTCCCTTGGATGTTTCGCCATGTCGCCAGCCAAGCCCCGCCGCCATCTCAACATTTTCGCGCGCGCCGAGTCCAATATCGCGGCAGAAGCTTGTCGCGGTGCATTTCTGGGCGGCCTGCGCGGACGGTCAAGAGCTGGGGAACAAGTCTGGGTGAGGGACGCTGCGCCCGGATGACGAATCGCACAGCATGCAACGCATCACAGGCACATGTGAAGACGCTGGGGGCTTGGGTCCAATGAAACTTCACTACCAACATCTGAGGCTGTCGCACAGCAGGAGAGGGCTCAGGAGACTGGAATGTGTGTGGGGGGCTTGGCTTGGGGATGCGACCGCGCAGACCTGGGGCGCTCTGGGGTATTGCTGGGGCGCTCGTCGGTGAGAGCAGCAGTGCTGACGCCGTGAAGCTGAGGCGCAGCACGTCTGGGGTTTATATTGGTCGGTACCTACTTCGACGGCAGGCGAAGGATCTCTGAGGCGGCCAAATATAACCGCTGGGCTGAGTCGGCAACAGTCGGTGAGTGAGGCAGGGCGTCGCGCTCTCGTCGTCCGATGTCACAGTCGCGGTGGCATGCAGTGGCCACGCGGGCAAACGTCAGACGGCTGCGTTGCTGGCAGCGGGTGCCGTGTGCGATGGCCGTCTACCTATAGAGGCGGGCATTATTGCAAACGCCCGCCTGAGCAGCAGCCAGAGCGGTTCTGGAAATAATTTTGATCTGCGTCCCTGCGTCCCTGCGTATCAGGCCCATGCGAGCGCTGGCGCAATGCAGGCGAGGCCCGGCAGCATTGCCCGTTCTGCACGCAGTTGTATCGGCCCCCTGTCTCGGGGAAGCAGAGTCGGCGCAGCTGCAGCAACGATCGCCGGCAGCATCGACGTTGGCCGGCCGTCGCGCTGCGGTGGTGCGAGGTTGCGACTGTGGGGGGGCGCCTTCCCAACCGGGCTGGCTCCCGCCGCGGTGCGGGATGTTGGACCGGGGACGACAAAAATAGGCCGCGGTGACACGGCGAGCAGTCTCGGGCGGGCGCAGTACAAAACCAAGCGCGCCCCTTTCCTCGCGATGCTGGCGTCGCACGGCAGGGGAGAGACGGGCACACCTCGATCCGGACGAGGCTGCGCTGTTGCAAGCTGTTCGTTATCTCCACAGTGCCGCATTTGCTCGTGCTCTGACTAGTGGAGCCCCCGCTTGAGCTAGTGCTTCTGATCAGATGTAACCGGCACTTTCCCTATCACCGAGATCCGGCTGCGTTGCCGGCCCTGGCGGCGCCGTACATGCCGCATTCGGGCGAAGCCGGGTCGCGCCTCAACACCACCGTCTCTCGCAGCGCCCTCGCAGCCGGCCTGTGGCGCAGCTAACCGGAAGCAGCGTTCCCGGCTCGCTGCTGCAAGGTACGCAGCCACACGCGTCCTCACGTCCGGGGCTCCAGCAGGGCGTCGGGCAGATTCGCGCAGGCCCCGTCCGATGCACAGCGCCATTTGTGGAGTAAGGTATCGACTGACATTTCCGCTCCATCGCGCCATCCCAGCCCGTCGCCGTGGCCTTCGGAGCGAACCCTCTAGTAGTCGACAGCGCGCCGTCCGCCCTGTCCGCCTAGAGGTGTCGCGCGCGTCCGAGCGATTTCCGACACGGAGCCTCGCGCTGAAATGGGGCGGCCATTTGTCCGTTTCGCCGCGCCCCAGCGGCGGCTTTCGCTGCGGCTCCGCCCACCCACCACCACTCTTCGCAGAGCCACTCCACACCTCCCCAACCTACCACATGCGTTTCGGCCGAGCCACCGGCCCGCTCTGCGTGCTCGCCCAACCCTCACGCCAGGCGCATCCAGACACGTGCAGCAGCGCGCCGCACCCGCTCGACCACCCACCAGCCGTGCCAGCCGTGCCAGCCGTGCCAGCGCCGGTGCGAGCCCGCGCCGAACGCCACTAGAACGCGACTTTTGCCGCTTCGAGACTCGGCTCATCGCCGGCGCTGAGGATCTGCCCGGCCTGGGCGGAGATCGTCATCTGGGGAAGGGCAGCGTGGTTCCTTTGTTCGCCTCCCGCTTGGCGCGAGATGCGGCTCTCGACCCTGGCCGGCGCCGCCTGGACGCCGAATCTTCGAGATCGCAGACATGTTTTCGTCCAACCGCCCAGTCCGGATTGCGGAGAGCTGTCCTGCACGCCCAGCCGCGTCGTGCGCCCGCTGGAGACCGCTGGAGGGGCGCCTTGACTGCCGTTTTCGCCGTCCCAACGGTGTCACACCACCGTGACGTGAGCCCTCCTCACTCTCAGCACACCTCGCGCTGCGAGACATCCGTGCCAGCTGCCGCCGAGCATCATCGTCTCATCAGGGCCTGCGGGGTGATCATTCGACTCGCGACAAGGTCTCACAGCCATCCCCGCACGCCATCCAGGTCCGTCACCTGTCTCTCTGTTCGCGCCCACACCCCTGTGGAGATGCCATGCCGAGCTTAGCCTCCGCCGCCTCAATTCTCCTTGTTTCCCCGTGAGAGGTTGACGTTCGATGGTCGATGCAGCCTGGGTAAGGCTCGGCCCGGCCGGCTGAATGTGCCATGCAGCAGCCACCACACTGCCCATGCCGTCTCCGATCCGCCTCATACACGAGAGCAAGTCATCCGACGCTGTTACAGGCGGCCGCCACGTCTCTGCGCTGATAGGTCGGCACTTCCTGCGGCACTTCTTTCCCTGACCGCTGGAAGAATGCCGTGCCACTGCGAGCACAGGGTCCGGGTCTGAGGCCATTCCACAGATCCTAGATCCGATGGGCATTATCCGTACCAAGCCTTCATTAACATTCGGATTCTGTAAATCAAGGGCACATCAGGGAGGCTTATGCCTCACACCGCTCTGCAAGTAATAGCTATCCCTGCACAAGTCTTCCCACAAGCTCGTGATACGCCTGAATTTTTCCGTCCTATAGTCCGTGCTGGCAAAATTCTTCCCAACCTCTTACCAATCTCTACCCCTTGAGGTTACACTTACGGCCGCCGGTCTCACTACTGTACTGCCGCCCGTCGGCTCCGTCTGTGCCGCCGGGCCGCTTTCATTTTCTCTCATTGATGGCGACTATCGGCCGATATCGCATGGGTTGATCCCTTCTAATGTGGTTTCAATAAGCAACATCAACCCGAGTCAGAACGAGTCGCAAGCTATGACAACTTCCGAGTCTGTGTGTCTGGGGGTGCATGTGCTGTGGCGGCTGCGCGGTGATCATGATCATGTGGCTGGCCTGTGGATGCGCATCACGCCTGCCAGCACAACAGCAACTGCCTGTCCGGACTTTGTATGCCCGGGCATAGTGCAACCAAGATCTCATGCCCGGGCACATCGTGGGCCTCCACATAGCTGACGTGAGGGGTAGCACTTGAATCAGCAGAGGCAACTCCACTGAAGAAATCGAGTCAGGACAGAGAGGGCTGTCGGAGACTGGTTTCCGTCACTCGACTCTTGGTGAAAAGTTTTCTGCTTTGCTTCGAGTACTTTGACATCACGGCATGGCTCCCTGCTGTTCGTCTGTTCCCCTTTCTTAGACGCCGTCATCTCGACAGATCGCTAGCCTCGTCTCCAACGTGCTAAACGATTATCCGGACCACCTCTTACGTGTTTCCCCATGGCCACAGTATCCGATTCGCGCCCGTCGTCTGGGGATCGGCGTGGGGTATCCCTGCAGCATACGGTGAAGGAACGATAGCGCGGTTGAAGGCCAGAGGGAGGCCAGCGAAGATATCGAATAGGAGTGAGGGGTAGCCCACCATCATGGAGCTTCTCAGACACCGCCATGTCCTTTGGGGAGGGGGTCGGTTTTCTCCATCCAACGACTCGACTCGGACTACGGACCGTAGGCGACACCTCAACACTTCCCCATGATCACCACACCCGACGGCGCCGATCGGACCCTGGAAGCAAGCGATACCACATCTCGAGACGCGCTTGGCGTAGCATTTGATCCATTTTGTCCCCTCTCCTCAACAAACCTACGCGTATCCGGCGGCCTTCACTCGGACTATCTCGATCGTGACGGACATCCGGCAAAATTTGCGGAGGCAGTGCAGTTGCGGTCAATAACCCGGTGGACCCATAAGCTCGCAGGGCGGGGCTGCGTGCCACTTTGACACGAGCGTGCGTGATGGCGGTGGAGGGGTATTGGACACCTCTACAAACCCTTGGGTGATGGAGCGTGCAGGTCCACGCGTTGAGATAGGACACCGACTGCTTGCCTGGCTCCGTGGAGGAGCGCCGTGCGTGGAAAGGATTTGCCCTGGTGTCAGGAACACCCGCCGGAAGTAAAGTGGAGTGGACCGGAAGCGATAGGAGCTCTAGTGTGGACACCGTTCCGTGTGGAGGCAAGGCTTTGTGCTCAGGGATCACTTGTCTATCTTGGACAGAAACCGCAGTGAGACTCTCCATGAGACTGTAGCTGATGAAGACTTGGCAGATACCGACTGTGATTGGACAGATGACTGATCTCACCGCCTATGATGTCGCGAATCTACTACGAACACCTGCCTCAGGCATTGAACCTACGAAACCGAACAACCCCGAGAAAAATGGCTTTCTCCGAGACGATACGAAGCGCACATTCTCGTTCCGTCGTAGCTTCCTACTCCTAGACGAGCTGGTCCGACTTCTCTGGAAGCCACTACTCAACAGGACACAAAAAGTTCACCCTTGGCAGCATGGTTTGCAAAAGATGTTGCACTCTATGTGGGTAGGTGAAGACCACGTCCACATGCTCTTGCGTAATTGGAATCATGAATCCACGTCGCAAAATTCGCTTCCGATACCTACGGAACTCCAACATACGCCCTTTGAAAAGTGTTGCGAAGGATGGTGTATTCTCAAAATGACCTGTGTCGCAAGCCTCTGCTTAGTCACAGGTGGAGGCCGACGAAGTGTGCACAGAGTGACCAGGTCGAGACGCTGTCGTGGATACACATGTCACTGCATGTCATGGAACAAGCAGATATACGAAGCTTGAAGACTAAGCTTTCAAGCTACGGGAAATGGTTTCTAACGTCATGCACGAGGGAGTTTTTTTTTTTTTTACAATGTCATGCACCAGGGTTCCATTTTTACAAAGAATCAAAGAAAAATTACAAAGTTTGACCTTGCAGACCCGGTGTAAGCCGCTATGCAACTTTCTAGCTAGGCCGTACTAAACTGTGGCTGCATTGAGACGCATATATGCAGGCCGAACTTTCTTTGATTTGCTCTATTGAGGTGACCTATACACCGCAAAGCGTTGCATTTTTGACTAGTATTCACGTGCGAAACTATCTTCAGCCTCGAAGCAAAGTGTACCTGATGACACACCAAAGCCATCAGTAGCAGCTTGGTAAAACATCTTTCCCCAACCTCCAGCTAGCGCAAGCTCGATTAATGTTTTCGAACCCTGTCCCAACACTGCTTTTATGTGCAAACAAGAGCCGGAAAGAGGTTTGAAGTATCTTCACGATGTCGTCCGGCTTCGGCGCGAGGAATTCAGCGATACATGGGAACTTTGCATCAAGCTCCACAGAGAAGACCGTAAGGGTTTGAGAACGGCGCCTGAGGAGATCTGATGTCTTCAAAATCACCTGTCTCTGCTTGGGACTATCATTGATGTGCATGTACAAGAGTCGACGATCCAGACTAACCTTTTTATCAGCAGATGTGGAGAAGGTCGTTTCAGTTACGCAAATGATATCACGAGTGAAGTCAAAGTCACGATTCAGAGACAATCATTGAGCAAAGGTCAAACTTTTATTGGCCCGATTGGTGGCTTGGAAAGAAGAAAACCAAGCATGCCTAGGATAACCGATAAAGTGTGGTATGAGCGATGTCACGGGCACTTGATACTCTCGGGGCAAAAGTAATCCTAACGTAATCTATATGACCTTTTTTTTTTTTTTTGATGCCATTTGATGACCCCCAACCCCTTCTCTCCCTTCTCTACATCAAGTTAGATTTGGGCGTAAATAAGCATCTTTATACTGGGTTTCTTATCACTTGCACGATCAAGTGATTACCAATAGCATATAAAGCAGTGGTAATCCAAAATATCAGAGTCTAATCCATTTAATGAACTAATTGACAGCATGTCGAGATCGCTGAAGAAGGCATATAATGATGACCAGAATGAAAAGGCTTAAGCAGAGGAACTCGATCAAACCATCAAGGAACTTGCGGAGGAAGTCAGACAGTTCCCTTATAGAAAATGTGTAGCGGCTTTCACTTACTATTATTGCTACGACTGGCTGGCACCTTCAACAAGGACAGCATTAGAAATGCCTGCATAACGGCCAAGTTGGTACTTCGTTGTTGTGTTTATGTGATCATATTCTGTTAAAGAGCATCGCTCGTCATGATAGGAAATCCCCTCGCGCTACCATACGTGCTGACAACCGCTAGGCTACGCACTCGAAAGGCCATTATTCCGCTGGCACTTCCAATAATATTCACCGAAGACATCTAGGCTTTGGGAAGGATAGTCCAAGGTAGCGGGCCTTGATGGAAGAGACCTAAAAGATGGACATCTGCCTTCTACAGCGTCGGCATGGTCACACTCGTTGGAGTCGTCATGATAGGTAGATACCTAGGAAATGACATGGTGGAGGTCTGAATACCAGGTTTGGGGATCATGAAGCCTTGAAGCACATGGAAAAACTCTCGGATGTGGATGCCGCCAAGGTAGAGTTTCGTGAAGCTTGTGGCCAATTCAAAAGAGACTGTGTCGGAGGACTGGAACGACAAAAACCTTATCTATTTATGAATGCACGGGCGGTATTATTGAAAGGAAAATTGCTTGACCTAGAGTTCAAAGTAAAGTGTTCCGATCCGTGAGAAGTGTTACGCTTTCCGGCTTGACGAATTCCTTTCCAAAAATCACCACCGCCTCGACCATACACACACGTGACACACACACACACAAGATCCCGCACCACTTCCACTCACCGCCCCCCCACCATCTCAATCAAACCTCAGCCTCCCCGCCAGCGCCACCCCATACCCCACCGTCGCCACCATCGACAGCAAATTCAAATGAATGCTCATCGCATGGTTCCTCGAAAACGCCCTCTTCCTCTCCCTCATCCCCCCTCCCGCCGAACCACCATCATCACGCTTCCTCCCATCCCTCGTCTCTGCGCGCGCAACGTCAGCCAAACTATCTCTGGCCATCCAACCTCAAAAGCAACAACAACGACAACCCACCTTGATGAATCCTCGCGACCATGGCCGCAGCCGTCGCGGGGCCGTACTTCAGCCAATTCGCAAACGCGGTCGCGCCGGCGACGGCCAGCAGTGCGGCATCGACGGGCGGAGGGGCATTCGCGTTGGATGGTGGGGCGAGGGGGTGGGTGAGCGCGGTGGCGACGAGGAGGAGGCACTGCAGGCGGAAGTAGACGGGGAAGACTTGCCTCTGCAGCGTGGTGAAGGCGGGGGCGGGGAGCGCGGTGTAGCACAGTTTGGTCATGATGAAGGACTGGTGGGCGGGTGGGTTGGGTCAGCTCGGTGGTGGGGAGTCTTGGTTTGAGGGGAGGGGAGGGGGGGCTCGCCTGGTAGATGGTGGAGCCGAGTAGGGTGCTGTAAGCGAGGAGGTGGCAGGCGGGGAGGAGAGCCATGGTGTGTGTGGGGTGGATGATTGGATATTGGCTAACGGGTTGGATGCTCAACGGATTGGAGAGTATGGATACTGGATACAGTTGCTGCGAGAGACGATGGTGTCGAGTCTTTAGTGTCGATGGCTGCCTGGAGGGCTGACAGGGATTCGGCTCAGACGATGTAGCTAGGTCAGCCACGGGATGGTGCTGGCCTACCGCATGTTCTAAGGAAATCGTTGCTGTCAGAAGCCATTGCTGAGTCTGGAGAAGTAACAATTTCCATATGCGGGCTAGCTGTGGAGCTCAGTTAGGGTGGGGATGCATGGCTGCCTGAGGCATCACACCCACCCCCACGCCAGGCACCACTGGATCATGTGCACGGGCGGCGGCACCCGTCAAACGGCTCCTTTCCGCGTGATGGGCTAGCGACTAATGCCATGCCGGGGGTCGGGGAGGCGGGCATGGCTTTGGGCGATCGATTTCGCAGTTTTCTCGATGGCCATACAAATCCTGACTCTCAGGGGACATGTCGTAAGAAGGTTCAGCCACAATGACCTCAGCCCTCCGGCACCCCGGCACGGCGGTTCGCTCTAACTGAAGCTAAGTCCCGGCGGCTAATTCGGTAGCTGCGGCCGAGGCCCCATCTCCCGAACGTAAACACAACCATGACAATCGAGCAATGATGTTGGCCAAAATTGGCACGAAAATTCTGCTTCTTAGTTTTTTTCCGGACGCGAATCTTGCATCAACTTGCATCCACTAGATGCCTAGTCCTGTCTTCCATCGCACCACTAGCTACGCTCTAAAACATGTTCAGAGTAATACTTGCGCTAGGCCGGCATGAGATCGCACGCAGCCGTAGCCCTCTTGAACACGTTCTTCATCCGACCAAGCTTCATGAGCCCATTACGATGGCTGGCCAGGTTCGACGTCATCATGGAGCTGGACCACATAGACCAACCTGGTGACGACGTAAAGCTCCCGCATGCAGAACCAAGGTTGGGGTGCGGAGAGAGCCTCTTCCTATGCCATCTTACAAGAAGGATCGTAAAGTCGAAGTCGATCGGATTGTTTTTGTCTTCGATCCGTCGAGGGATCTGGCCAGACCGCGGCCGGACGGGCCAAAACTTGACCGCACCCGGTTAGCCCGCTCTACAACGGCTCGGGCCTGGGCTCATGGTCGCGAAACGTGCCACGCTGCGTGTGGGTGAAGTCATGTCGGGACTCCCCTAGGGTCTAGCGGCTGCGATGATGTAAGAGTGAGCGTAAGCGGTATGCTGTTTGGCGGGCGAGACGGTGAGATGGCGGGTCGCGAGCCGCAGGTGTTTGGGGTTGCCGCACCGCAACCACCAAGGAACTCACGCCTGTGATTGGTCAGTAGAACAGAATCCATATCTCGACTACCAAAAAGGGTAGGAAGCGCAACAAAAACTACTACACGCATAGATACCAAGTACCTGTAGGAATTTGGACCCTTCTTGGGGTGCATTCTATAAGACAAAAACGCCAGATCCCGTCCGTCCGCGAAGACCCAGTAGCAATCGCAAATAAACCAGTCTATGCTGCTTCCGCAATCTCTCCTTTGACATTTTTTGCCCTCTTCTGCTCCTTCGCATACTTCACTACGATCTAAATTAGCGCCATATGAACTAGTTACACGCAAATACAATATCTTACGGCCACAAGCATTGCACAGCGTCTTCGGTCCGTCGGGACCAGCCCGCCATTCGGGACTCTCCACCGTCCCGCACCGAGAGCAACAATGATCTTTGGCCGCAAACTTGCGCTTGGGCTGTCTTGGGACATCGCTGATCTTCCTCTCGTACCCCTCAGGCCTGATGAAGAAAGGAATGCCCGCATCCCCCAGCTTGACCTTTGACGACTCGCCCGGCGACCCTTCCCCGCCGGATTGGCCGTCGGGAGGCGAGCCACCCGGATCGTGCCGGTGGCCTGGTGTTTGTGTATGTTGTTCCTCTTTCGGCGTCGGCGCCGGCGCCGGTGCCGGCACCGGGTCGGTGGCCGAAGTCATCCAGGTCAGCCGCGGCGGGCTGCTACGGGAGCGCTTCAGCGGCCGGCCCGGCGGCGAGGTGCGGCGCTCGGGGCGCCAATACAGCGTCTCTTCGGCGTTTCGTAGGGAGTGGTGCATCGGCGTCGCCGCCGAGGACACGGCCACCACGGTCCCTTCGTCGTCGTCGCCGTCGCCGCCGCCGCCGTCGTCGCCGTCAACGCCGTCGCGGCCGCGGCCGCGGCCAGCGTGACGGACGTCGGCTTCGTGATGGCGGCCTTCGCCGGCGGCCTCGCGGCGCATCTCGCGCAGGAGGGCGACCAGGTGTATTTGCTCCATCTTCAGCTCGAGCATGCCGTCCATGAGGCGGCCCTTGCGGGTGAAGGCGGGGCGGGCGGTGATGGAGATGATGCCGGGCGGCGGCATCATGAGTTGTAGCGGCGACAGCGAGGCGGGCATCTTGACCTGGTAGTGGCCGACCAGCTCGAAGGCCGAGTAGTCGCTTCCAATGTGCACGACGCTGCGGATGCGGCAGTAGAAGCGGAAGGGCGGGCGGCCCGGGGCGAAGGCGGCCAGCGAGGCATCGAAGGTGTTGGTGGGGCGCAGCAGGGCGTCGTCGATTTCCGAGGAGAAGACGTGGGCGTCGTCCTTGTGGATCAGGGCGGCCAGGCGCTGGCCCAGCAGCAGGTTCGGCTCGCAGCCCAGCAGGTTGAGGCAGTTGGCCGAGACGCGCAGGATGGTGGTGCTCGGCGAGAGGACGAAGTGCAGGTGGTGCAGCGAGGAGAGCACGATGTCATCGAGGGTGGGCGGCAGCAGGGCGTCGAGGTCGGTGCGCAGGACGGCGGTCGGTGATGGGGCGTCGACCACAGCACTGTCGAGCGTCGAGTGTTCGGGGGAGGGCATGGTGGGCGCAATGGCTCGAACATGGAGGAATTGGCGGGGAGGACAGCATAGTGGGTGTGGTGGAGGTTGAGTCGGCGCTCACGACATGTGCGCTATGTGGGAAGGGAAGCGACGTCATCTGCGTGGCGAGCATCATCTCAAGGGCCGCCTCTTGGGTTTCCCCCAGAGTCGTGTTCAATCGGCGGGCGGCGACGTCATCGGGCTGTGGCTTGTGGGGAGCTCCGCAGCGTGGGCGGGCAGTGGCAAAAGTGGCGCCACGCGAGCCACGAATTTCCGCTTTGGTGCAGCGCGAGATCATCGGGGTTCGCGTTTCGTCGGTCAGGGCGGTCGGAATCGAATGGCGGCGGGATCGAAGATGCACTGTTCCTCGATGCTTCCGCTGCAGGGGGCCCTGCCGATTGGCCCGGAGACTAGTCCGATCCGACCAGGCGCTTGCCCGCCACGATGCGATGCCTTCTTAATCCTCGATCACCAGCTTGCTGCGAGCACATCCCACGCCCAGCTGCCAGGCGCCCGCCTGCTTCCTGCGCCGGCTCCACTCCGGCGCCGGCCCTGCCTGCCCATGCTGCCAATCCGCCCAACTCCTGCCCGACTCTGCCTGCTTCCTCTCCGTCCCGACGCTTCCCATGCCGTCCTCCAGATCCAAAGCAGCCTCACCGCGGCACCCGCCCGGCCTTGACGCAGAGCGCGCCCGCGTCAAGAAGCTGGCCAGGTGCGCCCGACGCCCGCCCTCCCCCACGAGCCTCTGCTGACGCCCACAGCTACTTCGGCTCTCTCGGCATCGTGCCCGAAGACTCGTCTGCCAGTCCTGCCACCGACCCCGTCTCCAGCTCGCCCGCCGCCGCCAGAGATGCCACCCTCACGGCCCTCGCCCAGCTGGGCCCGCTGCGCCTGCAGTGCGACCGCGCCTTCGTCTCGCTCACTGACCGCTGCCACCAGTACATCATCGCCGAGGCCACCCGCTCGTTGTCTTACTTCGACCTGGCCCGCAACTCACAAGACCCCCTCTACCTGGGCGTCGTCGCCCTAGATGCCGCCTGGAGCCCGGAAACCATCCACATCTTCACCGAACCTGCTGGCCACGTGGATATCTGCACCCCTAACGTGCAGGCTGACCGTTCCAAGTACCGCATGTGTGACTTCCGCGCCGACCCGCGCTATGTCGACAGTCCCTACGTGGCTTCCTGGCCCTACGCACGCGCCTACTTGGAAGTCCCTTTGCGCACGTCGACTGGCGAAGTCATCGGATCTTACTGTGTGGTCGACAATCGCATCCGCGACGACTGGGCCGATGACTTGGCCATCCGGATCTTGGCTGAAATCGCCCAAACCATCATGGACCACATTGAACTTGTCAAGATGCAGGAGCAACACCACCGCCTGGAGCGACTGGTAAACAAACTCTGTGTATACGTCGAAGAGAATACTAGCATGCAGGCTTCGGAAACCAACCTTCACGCCGACCAAAGCTCGTCAGCTAGCACCCCCCAGGACAGCCCTGAATCGAGCCCTATGTCCGGGCCTGTAAAATCCAGCAATAAATTTCCCAGTGAAAAGCCAGCCTCCAGTTCGCACGATTCGTTGGAGACGCAATTAACCACCCCTAGCCCGAGCCCGAGACTGAACCCTTTCGAGTCATCAGTGTCGCCCTCCAGACCAACCCACATGTTGAGCCAGAGATCTTCATCATCATCGCACAGAGCACCACCGTCGCAGCGGTCGAGAGACATTCCGGCGACGTTTTCGCGCGCAGCAAATCTCATCCAAGAGGCGACAGACATCGAGGGCCTCGTCTTCCTGGATGCATCTCCGAATGGCTTTGGAACCCGTCTGGACTCGAAAGTGGGCAACGTTTCAACCAGCTTGGAAACAGCCCATTCCCCCGTCTCTGCTGCAGCAGATTCTCCCAGGATCAAGATGTGCGAAACGCTCGGACAGTCCGTTAGCAGCGATAGCATCTCCGCAGGCTCATTGTCTATTCCCGAAGCGCTTCTACAAAGACTTCTTCAAGTCCACCGGGGAGGCACCAGCTTTTTCGCGGATGAGCTTGACGAATTAGATGAGCAAGAGGGCAGCGATGCGAAATGTCTTTTCAAGATTTTCGATTCCGCCCGCTCGATCCTTTTCATGCCGCTTTGGGATTACCAGAAAGAGGGGTGGTATGCGGCCGCCATTGGCTGGTCCACAAAGGCTAACCGCATTTTCGCGTCCGAAGACCTGGTGTACATCTCAGCCTTTGGTAACTCGATCATGAATGAGGTGTCCCGCATAGAGGCCATGTCGGTCAGTCATGCCAAGTCCAATTTTATTTCGTCGATTTCGCATGAACTCCGCTCGCCACTCCATGGGATTCTTGCGAGCACCGAGTTACTCAAACAGACCAATCTCGATCCTGAGCGGATGGCCTTGGCCGATATGGTCGAGGTGTGTGGAGTGACCCTTCTGGAAACGATGGATCATCTTCTCGACTTTGCCAAGATCAACCACTTGTACAGAAAGGGTCGTCGATCTTCATCCGATGGCCTCGGAGGGAGCAGGGGAGGAAGCAGGAACAGGAAAGATTATTTGAATCTGTGCAAAACAGCAGACTTGAGCCTCCTGGTTCAGGAAGTTGTCGAAGGAGCGTACTTGGGCCACACAGCCCAGACCACAGGCCAGTTTGACCACGAAAACACTCCACTGGACGACGACGAATCACCAAGCTCTAAAGTGGACAGAATGCGCCGACCCAAGTCCAAACCTGTTCTTTTGACCATGTCCATTGAGAAGTGTAATGACTGGCGACTGCACACCGAACCTGGCGCGTGGAGGAGGATCGTTCTAAATCTCGTGGGAAATGCACTCAAGTACACCCAACGTGGATCCGTCGAGGTTAGCCTGAAGTGCGTTGGCGCAGAGAGTGGACGAAGGCCTTCGTCAACCGAGGATGGCCCCGAGAAGCGTTACATTTGTCTCTCCGTCAAGGACACGGGTCGTGGCATTGGCGAGGATTATTTGAAGTACCGCTTGTTTACCCCATATGCGCAGGAAGATTCGCTGGTCAGCGGAACGGGACTGGGTCTGTCCATCGTCCATCATTTGGTGACACATCTCGATGGGACTGTTCACATACACAGCGAGGTCGGCGTTGGAACCCATGTGCAGGTCATGATACCTGTCCCAAACGACGCGGATGGTTCCCCGCCGAAATCTGATTGCACACCAGACTCAGCCGAGGAGGCAACGCAGACGTTGCAGGGCAAGACTATTCTTCCGCTGAGAGGCGATCGCTCACCCCACCGAGACGCAGAAGGAGAGAAGCTTCTTTCGAACGCTATTCACACCGCTCAATCTTGGTGGGGAATGAAAGTTGTCTCCCAGGACGGTCCCGACGGCACTGAGACGGCAGCAGACTTTTGCATGCTCCATGTTTCGGAGCTCGAAGCTGCTCACGAGAACAGCTCTCTGAAGGACATTACCGCCGCCATCGTCGTCGTCTGCACACGCCAGCCCACACAAGAGCAACTCCTTGTTGCAGGCCTCTATAACGCAACCTTCCTTCAGCAACCCTTTGGCCCCAAAAAGATGAAGCATTCACTCAACGCCGCGCTCTCCCGCTACAGTCACGACCCGCTACCTCCCGGCCAACCTCAACGAAAATCATCATGGATTGGCGCTCAGAGCCGTCTTTCATACCGCGACTCCGGTGCCGGCGCCCTCGCAATCGGCGCCCCTGTCACCGCCACAAGCACCCAACCGTCCACGCCAGCCCCGTCCTCCCCCACGCCTGCCTCACCGCCCTCACAGCCTACTTCTTCTCCCATACCGACACCAGTGACAGAAGAGGACCGCACCGACCGGCCGCTTCACCTCCTGCTGGTAGAAGATAACGAGATCAACCTCAGGATTCTCACGACGTACGCGCGCCGCCTTGGATGTACGTTCGCGACTGCGTCGAACGGGCAAGAAGCCGTCGAAGCCTTCAAGGCCGCCACCCACCCACCGTTTGACGTCGTGCTCATGGACGTCAGCATGCCGGTGATGACGGGATTCGAGGCGACGAGGGCGATCAGGGCGTGGGAAAGGGAAAAGCGCGGAACGGGAGGGAGAGCGGAGCCAGACGGAAACGGTTGTGGTGGCGCAGACGGTGCGAAGGAGCGGGGTAGGGGAAGGAAACGGAGAGGCTGCAGGATTTTGGCGCTCACGGGCCTTGGCGCGGCGGAGAGCCAGAGGGAGGCATTCAGCAGTGGGATGGATGAGTTTTTGATGAAGCCGGTGCCGTTGAAGAGGCTCAAGGGGGTGCTGTTTGGAGATGACAGGCGCGGCCGTGCGGAGGAGGGACAAGAGAAGGAAGAGAAATCGAAGGCAACGAAGGCATGAGGCTGGGGTATTGGACGGCGTTGATGTATTGGAACGGGTGAGTGGGGTGATTTGCGCGGGTGCGCGTGGGGTGATTCGGAGTTTCGGGACGGATTGGGACAGATTTCTGAGCGCTGGCGCAGATTTTACATTCTTGTTTTGTATTCGTTTCGTTTTCCATGTTTCGTGGGGTTAGGGCGCGGATTGTGCTGCTTGTTTGGGAGCCTATGTATAGTTTGCTCTTGCGGCACCGGATCTGTATTAGATGATCCGCTGTACGATGTTACGAAACTTGTACCAACAGCACGGGAAGGATGAGGTACCTCTGGAAGGTGTATGGTTTAGACCAGTTTGGACGTGGCCGTCTGTCATTAACGTCATCGGGGGCGCTGAGAATAAGGAAAGGGGAATATCGGCCTTGTCGACCAACCGGACAGGCCAGGGAAACAAAGCGATCATCACGTCTGCACCAACAGTCTGCTAAAGTGTCCGCTTAACCGATTCGTCCTGGACATCGACCGATCTGAGTCGTCGATTGCTTGGACTACGTCTGCACCGACATTCTTCCGTGCTCGTTATTAGCCAAGGAGAGCGGAGCCGTCTCCGCGAATAGCAAACCTCACCGCTTGCCCAGCCTTTTCTTTTCTTTTTCTTCCCATGCATACGTCCAAAATAGGGGCTCATATTCCCTTTTTTGTTGTCTTTTGCTTTTGCTTTGCCCCATTCTTGCAGGGAGGCTTACGAAGTCTGGCAAAGCCGATATGCGTCTCTACATGGGCTTATCTACACCGCGACTTACGTCGTGAGTGAGTCGCTTGTCGTAAACATGGCTTCACCAACGTCTCACATGTGGAGAGTCGAACAAGGCGTCAAGACATTGATATTGCCGAGCGTTTCTGCCTTACGTCATTGACAAACAATCTGGTATGGTCTCTCTCGCATGCTATACGGAAGTGGGGTCGGTAATTACAGAGATGTCATGTAGGTATATTTATGCAGCCGAGCCCTGTCAAAGCTCGCGCGTTACGCGGCTTCGTCCGAATGTATGAACAACTCCACATCAACCGCGTCCTCGTTTCCCCCCCACTTTTCCCTGTCTTCGAAATTAGAAATCGCAAACACTCGTCCAGCGCTTCTCCTCGGAATGTCCAGCACCGCGATGGTCGAGGGGGCCGTTTTTCTGATGATCGTGTGTGCATGTGAAAGGACGCACATGTCCCCGGCCTCCTGTTTCTCCCCACATCGGGCGTTCTCCGTAAACCTAAAGCGCGATGGTGGGATTTGCGACGCGATGGAGTCGCGTAGGAATGGAGTCGCGTGGCGCTCGAATGAAGCATCTTGGATACTCGCGATATCGCGCTGGTGGAGAGATAGATATCTGATAATGGCACTATCGGAGAACACTGATGAAGACGTGCGCTGGTATACTTCTGACAGACCAAGCTTGGTCGGCATTTTCGGAATGTTGAATAGTGTTCGTAGATAATGGCAGCTGCCTTTGAGACGGGTAATATTTTACCCTGATGTCCAACGATGATGTCATTGGCTGGCCTTGCAGTTACGAAGCCAAGACAGTATGGGACCGTCTATGTACGGACTACGGATGCCACCTAAGACCGTCTTTCTGAGCCTGTAGCAGCACAGCATTTTGACTGCGTCTATCATCTCTTCCGGGAAGAAGCAAAGGACGAAAGCTGCCCCACATCACTTGAATCCTTCCGGCGTCCACGTTGGTCAAGCCGAATGAGGCCGTTGTGGTGCGTCTTTGAGAGTCATGGGATACTCAAATTGCTGTAGTGTTCCATCATCAGTCGCGCCCATGCCCACTACCGTAGCCTCCCAGAATACTTGGACATTCATGCTGGTTTAGGTAGTATCATGTCAGTCGGTAATCACAGCCGGGTGAATGAAGTGAAGTTGATAGCTGGATGATCTATTGAGCGCTGTTTACCTTCTGCGCGCCTGGGCCGCCTGATTGCATCCAGCCTCCGATATTGTAGGCTATATGGTGGTGAGTGGCGTATGACACGAGTCTTTGCTCTTTCCGATCGTGCCTTCCATTCTGGCTGTCCGTACGTAGGCGCCTCCACGTAGCCCACACGTAGCCTCGACCCAACAGCACGCACACTACTCCTCCAAGATTGCAGCACGATTTATTCATACCAAAGCGCGTCGGTCAGAACTGGCCGAAATGTGCGAACTGATCACTGTCCCGGATCGCGCTCGTTGGGTACGACCACCCTCTCTACCACGGTTTAGTTATTCTCACACGACGTAATTCTTCAGAGCGAGCCACAAGCAAATTTGAAAAATTTCTCCAGCCCAGAAGCCAGCGACGTGGACACCGGCGCCTTTAATTCTGCCAGCATTCCCGAAACCGAGGCTTTCAGTAGCCCGACCTGCGGCCATGATACACCACCCCCGCCGCCTCCTGCTGCTGAATCCACTGGAATAACTTCTCGTCCATCATGTTCTGGAAGTTCGCCCCATCCACCTCCGACTATCGTTGAAGCGTTCACAACGGCCATGAACCGCACAGTCGCTGACAGACTCATGGACGGGTTGCTGGAGACTGCTGGCCCTGGTCGAAGTACCGATGAAGAGGGCGCTTCTGGGCCACGGTCCTGGGGCCGTCAAATCAAAGCAGCAAACGAAGAGCCGCCGAGAACAGCGATTCTGAAAATGATGGCCGCGGCAACAAAAGGGCCCGCAAGCCATCACCTTCTGGGGATCGAGAGTCTTCCGAAACGTGCCGAAAGTTCGCCTGTCCCTTCTTCAAACATGACCCGGACAAATCGGATCAGCCCAGGACTTGTTTCTGTGAAGGATTCAGCTCGGTAGCCCGTACGAGGTGAGTTGAGCTCAGCTTTCACTCAGAGACTCGCGCTAAACGAGGTACGTAGACACCATATATACAGCATCCATCGGGCAGTCAGCCAATGCCTAAACTGCTTCGCGACATTTAAGGACGTGGACGCTCTGAATCAGCATCTCAGAGCTGCGCGGAAATGCACCAAGAAAGACGAGATGCCAGTCCCGGAAAACATCACCACGGAACAGCTGCGCGAAATCAGCCGCTGGAGGAGCAAGACCATGAGCGAAGAAGAACAGTGGAAACGCATATACCGTTTGATTTTTCGCCTTGGCGATGAAAGCGATACACCATGTCCATGTGAGTCGCCAAACGTCCAACCCCCAACTTGGCACCATCCGTTTGACCGTTCACGAGCTTATTCACCGTGCAGATTTCGAGAAACAGGCTGTCAGTCCCTCGTTCAGATCGAGTGGTTCAGCAAGTTATTGAGAGGGGCGCACAAACAGTCGAGGCGCAGTTACGGAACCAAATGACTGAAGTGGCGCAACTCGGAGGAGGTCTAGGGAGTGACAAAAAGGGAAGCCACGAGGCTCTAGGCAATCTCTTGCCTTGACTTCCAGATTTTTGGGAGTTTTATTTTTAGTAAGATCCGTGATCGCCTGGGTAGCCAACAACCCGACGCAGTATTTCAGCTGTACAGACGGTAAAACACTTCCGAAGAACAATCAATGGCCGCCACTGTGGTCACAACGCTCCGGAATACGTCTTGTATTGATAGTTAATCTTGTTCCTTGTCAAAACTTTCATTATCTTATTACTGACTTCCTTATCCGTGCCTAATGCCTCCGTTGATTGACTGATACCGAAGCTATTCTGGCATAGCTTTGTCCGAAAAATGCCGTCTTTCAGAACCCCTCCCACACAAACCCATTCACGTCCGGCTCCTCATACCTCGCCGTCGCGCACCACGGCTCATCGACTTCTTGATATGGCGTCAACGGCCAATCATACGGCATGCGCCAGCCCACCACAGCCTCGCCACCACCACCGCCACCACCACCGCTCAACCCCCTCACATCCTCCGCCCTCGGCTCATCTCTCCCAAACACCGGCACCATCACCGCCGCCCTCTCCTTTCCCCCACCATCGCTCCCCTCCCCAAACAAAGCCGGCCACACCGCAACGCCAATCTCCCAACTGCATATCCTGACCTCTTTCCCTTCCTCCTCACCACCACCACCATCGTGCTTTTCTTTCCTCTTCCTCTCCCTCATCCCCCCAACCCCGCCGCCGCCGTCAACGCCGTCCCCTCCACCGCTCCTCACGGTAGTAGCAGCAGCAGCGGCGGCAGCAGCAGCAGCAGCAGCAGCAGCCGGCAGCGCCCCCCACGCCTGCGTCGACAGATTCGCCGACGTCAGCATCGCCCACTCGACCCGCGTCGCCGCGTCCACCGTCGTCGCATACCGCGCATACGTCTTGACGTGCGGCGCCGCCGGGCTTCTCCATGCCAGTGCCACTGCCGCCTTCGGCTGCTGCTGCTGCTGCCCATCATTGCCGCCGCCGCTGGTGTTCCACCGACACAAGCGCGGACGCATGTAGGCGAGCTGCTTGCGCTGGGCGGCCGTCTTGCGCGTCTTGAAGTGGATGGAGGCGCCGGCGCGGTAGCCGTCGAGCGAGGCGCGCACGTCGGCGGCGGTGGGGAAGACGATGTGGAAGGATGGCGGGCGGTGGCGGCGGCGGCGGTCGTGGGACTGGTTCGCTGCTGCTGTGGCTGCCGCTGCCGCCGCCGCTGGTTTGGGGCGGGGTGGGCGTGGTGGTGGTGGATTGGAGGAGGTGTGCTTACTCGTTCCGAGGACGGAGCGGAAGTGGTCCAGCCACGCGCCGGTCTGGTCGAGCGTGGCTATCGAGGAGATCTGGGCGACGGTCATGTGCTGCTCGCTGGCCGCTGTGCTTGATGACGGCGCGGTGGTAAGCGGGATCTGGCCGAGGACTTCGCGCAGCCCGACCCAGCCCCAAGATGTCCGCTCGGTAGGGTTTGCATCTTGAAGCTTTACGCGGCCCGGAGTGCTTGCCACGAGTGCGGCGCGGATGGTAGAGAAGTCATACTGGACGAGCTGTTTTGTCAAGGCGCTGAGACGCTTGCCGTAAGCGGACAGGTAACGAAGAAGGTCGATCTTAAATCTCTGCCCTGTGCCGACGGGATGATTTATGTTGCCAATTGCGTTGATATTGCTTGCGGAAGTATATACGGATGTATTCTGATGAGGTTGGCCCATGCCGGGTGAAAGAGGCAGGAGTGGAGAGCGCCAGACGGCGTTGGTCATGTTCGTCCAGTCTTTGGCGATCATATTGGCGGTATGAATGACAACTTGTGCGGAGTCGTCTGCACGGATGAGGATCATCATTTTGCTGTGATGTGTTCCAAAAGCTTCCGGCATCCAAGCTTGGATGACTTCGAGGTTGGGGTATTGCTTCCCCCACTGCTCCAGCAATTGCCTCTGAGCGTCCTCTCTGCGCCAATTTCCATGCACGACCTTGACCCTCATACTATCCCTCACGTCCTCATCTAGAGCACTCATCAGGAAATCCACATCGAACATGTAGTTGAATTGCCACATCTCAACAATCAGCGGATCGCCCAAAATATCTTTCAGGGCGACAGAGTCCACATTGGCAGCCGAAGGAAGATCGCGTATGCGCGTAAGCTGAATTGGCGATGGAACGAACGTAGTCTTCCCCATCCCCGCATTACTATCGTTCTTGACAAACGATGCTGCTGGAGGCGCCGTGGCAACCTTGTCCAACACCTCTTCAGCCTCTCGTCGCCGACGGTTGTTCTCCGCAGCAGGCACCACGCCCACCTTCTTCCCCGTAGCCACCACCTTCTGCACTTCATCCTCCACGTCCTCCGCCGTCTCGGCCTCACCATCCACAACTCTCCTCGCCGGCGGACTGATCCCCCTCTCCAAGCTCCTCAACGGCGCCGACGTTCCCCGTCCGCGCTCCCCCGACCGATCCGAGACATCCTCATCAACAGCCGCAGCCGCGGTAGTAGTAGCAGTACTACGAGCGCCCTCACCGTCCCGCTTCAGCCGCTTCGCCGGCCTGACTTGCTGTCGGCGGCGCGCTGCGGGAGGAGGAGGAAGAGGAGGAGAAAGAGGGCGGCTCCGTCCGACCTGGCCCCCACCGCCACCCGATCCGTTCTCGCCTCCATCATCGTCCGTCGTCGTGCTCTCCTCGCCGTCGTCCGTCACCCAGGCTTGCTCATCACCGGGATGCGGAAACGCGGTTCTCCGTCTGCGTGGCAGCATGGGTGGGGACCTTGTTCCGGCAATAACCTTCGGTGATCGATGGTGGTGGGGGGGAGGACCTGATGAACCGGGGTGATGATGATGACGTCAAAGGCCGTCTGCTTTCGGTATGAATCGCACAACCGACTCTGGGCAGCGGGGCGATGAGTCAGGCGATCCGGTATGCCGACACGGCAGTTTGGTGCCGCCGTCCGTTCCAACCCCAAACCTGTATGTTGGAGGTGACAGGTGGTCCGTAAGCGTGCAGCTGCGGCGGTGCGGCGGTGCAGCGGTGCGGTGCGTCGGTCGGATGTGTTGGTCCCGAAGTTGGGGCTGGATTTTTGCTTTCGAGAAAAGTGTGCCCTTGCCTAAGTCGCGGGTGTGGCTGGGGGTGGCGAAAAGTGCTGGGTCGGAAAGGAATGTCGCGTGGCGGCCTTGCAGCAGCGGCAGCAGGCTTAGTCACGAGCAAGCGCACGCGCGCTTGCGGGTTTTGGTTGTTGAGGGTCTAAAGGGTCGGGCTAGTGTAGTCCGTCTGCTGTGTGACTTCTGTGACAGCTGAGTCGTGATCAAGTCACTTTGTCGCCAGTCAGCGGTACAAAGCACACGCAAGACTTGGGACACTATTTCTGGCAGGCTGCCTGTCGCCTGCCTGTCGCTTTGACAACAGATGGGAAGTCACACCAAGATACTTGCATGGGTAGTAGTCATGAGCGATGAATGTGTCACAATGCAGTGACCATCGAATTCTTCAGTCTAGCCATTAGAGTCGCGTCAAACGACTCGCATGCCCGCCCAACCCGTGTCGCTTTCTGGGACCACGGTCTGTGAGGTAGTCTCACTTCATAAACGCAATAGCAACAATGCCCGCTACCTTCCAAAACGCCTCTAAAATCAAGCCCAGTGTTTGCCAAACTGCAAATCTTGTTCACACCACCATCCCGATCCTGCGATAATTTTTTTTCCGATCCGTGGAGCCGCCACTGAACCTATGCCGCGCCAGCGCTGACCATGGGCTGGCGAACCTTGGTAGGCTGCTCACCAGCACGAACGACACGTTTGCCGTACGAGTCCTTGAAAACCTCGACGTTCTTGGTCTGGTTGGCGCGCTTCCAGATCTCAACCTCGCAGCCGCCGCGGATGACGCCGACGCGCATGGTGGAGAGCAGGTTGTGGGCGGCGTTGGAGTGGTCGTAAACACCGCCGTTGAACATGGCGGTGGCGTCCTTGCCGAGACCGGAGCGGATCATTGCCTTGCCACCGGGGTGATCCTGGATGAAGTCCGTAATGTCGTGGACAACACCGGCAATCGCAATAAGGCCGCGGCCGTTCTTGGCCTGGTCGACGTAGTCGTCCCACTCCATGACGGGAAGCTGGTCAAGAGGGACACCCCAGTCGAGCTTGGCGCGCTTCTGGTCAAGCTTCTTCTGGGCCTGCTGAACACGGCCCTTCTCGATCTCGTTGGCGCGGAACTGCTTCAGGTCGTAGGCAAGGCCAAGTTGCTTCCAGGTCCAGATGCACCACTTGGTGGGGTCGTACTGGAACCACTCGATGGCGTTGCGGTAGTCGCTGGGGAACTCGTGGTGGAAGTTGTGGTAGCCCTCACCAAGCGTGACCAAAGCCGTCACGACGTGGTCACGAGGAGAGTTGCGGTCGTCGAAGGGCTGGTCACCGAGCCAGTGGGCAAGCGAGTTGACGCAGAAGGTGGCCTGCTGGACGAAGAAGATGCGGAGGATGCCGGCGTAGATGAAGCCTCCCATCCAGTCGCCCCAGCCGAGGCCGGAAACGAGGGTGGGGAAGATGATGCCCATGAAGAGGACGAGCTTGACGTAGTGCTTGTGCTGGAAAACAACAACAGCGTCGTCGTTCAGGTCCGAGATATCGGTGCGGCCAATCCTCTTCGGGTTCTGTCTCATAACCATCCAGCCAATGTGCGAGTACAGGAGGCCCCTAGAGCAAAGGTCAGAAGAGTGACGTGACAGAGCAGGGCAGAGACGTACTTGTGGACCGAGTAAGGGTCCTTGTCCGTGTCCGTGTAGCGATGGTGAGCACGGTGGTTGCGGGACCACCATCGAATGGAGCCCTCAACGGCACCGGCGCCGACAAGAGCGAGGAAGATCTCCAGAGGGCGAGTGGCCTTGTACGAGGTGTGGGACCACAGGCGGTGGTAGCCGGCAGTGATGCCAAGACCGGTCCAGTAGTAGTAGAGAACCGACCAGAGAAGCGTCTTCATGGTCAAAGGAGTCCACCAGGCGGCGATGCAGCCCATCAGCGGGATGCCGCCGATGAAATAGACGTTGAGCCAGTCGACATGCTTGTACCAGTTCTGGCGGGTGATGGGGTACTCGGTGATGTGCTTCTTGGCCGGGTCGTACTTGGGGTTGCGGTTGGGCTCCGACGTCTTCGCCATGGGCGAAGGCTGCTCCGAGAGGAACTCGGGCTTGACGGCCTCGTCGCCGGCAACAGGCTGGTGCGAGGGCATGGTGGCAGCGGACGGCGTCAGCAACAACGAATGAAGTGGTGGCCGTGGGCAATGCCTATCCAGAGGGCGGGGTGCGGGAGAGGGAGCAGGTGAACGAGCGGGCTGAAGAAAGGGGAAGGTGGAGGGGGCGGCGGCGGGAGTAGTATTTACGTAGCGACATTGAGGCAAACAGAAAAAAAAGGTGGTGGGTGCTCTGCGTGCTGAAGCCGCTCCCCAGCTTCTCCCCAACACCGAGCAGTACCGCCCTCAACGAAAATGCGAGCACGGGCCGCGTGTCGCGGCGGTGGCAGCTGTGATTCGCCGGACCGCCACCGTCGCGGCAGGTGCGCGGGTATCAGCCGGAAGCGAGGGCCCTGGTCCTGCCTGGTCCTGCCTGGTCCTGGCCCCTTCTGCCCTTGTTCCTGCGCCGCGACCTGGAACGTCAGGCTGCCGTGTGCCCGCTGCAGAGACGACCAAGACGTGCCCGCCCTCGCGAAGAAGGCACGCCTTCTCCTGTGCGCTCCCGCGCCCAGCTGCGCCTCGCCAGCTTCCGGCCGCCCTCAGCTCCAGCCCCTTCAGCCCTATGGTGGCAACTCCATGCTGCATCAGCTTCTGGGGCAGCGATCCGCAGTCCACATGTCCGACGCCAATCAGCGGCCGACCTCGGCTCTCGAAGACATCATGTTGTTGGGCCCTCCGCATGTCCTTCGGCCGCCGCCAATCGCTGGTGCTGTGGCACATCGCAATCGCGTCTGTTGGCAAGCAGCCCTGTCTCATGTGGGGAGCCTGTCTTTTGATCCGGCTTTCACATGGCCCTCGCTCCCTGAGAGTTGTGTCGACACACGGCCGTATTGTCCCGCAAACGGGCTCTCGTTCTCCCGCCGGCGGCCTCCACACGCAACTGGAAGCGTTGAGGCCAGAAGCCTGGCACCCTGGGTATCCCCTCGCCCGCGTGCGCTACGCGACTACCACTACGTGACTGCCTACTTGCAATCACACGCTCGCCAGCCATGGCCGCTTGGCCGGAATCCCAACGCTTCCACGTTGATGATATCTTTGACCCGCCAGCCGGTGATCGTGCCTGGTCCAGTAAGACACGTATCTGCTGTGCTGTCAGCATGCTTTCGCACCAGCGTGCAGGACATGACCCTCTATTTGTCTTTTCTGCTGACGCTGTCAAGGCTTTTGAGCCTGCGTGGCTACCGGTGAGTTTAATGAGATTTGTACACCCCTGTTACTACTTTGGGACCGGCTTGCCGCCAATGCCGTCGGCGGCATCGTCGAACGTCTGAAGCCGATTTTTGGGCCCTGGCCAGCACGAAGGAGCTTTCATCCACGGCACAGGAGATTGCATATGCAGTGCAGAGGCAACGCTGCGGCATTCGCGTTGCCACCTTCCAACGTCTGGACGTGGAAGTTGGTTCCCGGCTTTGCGCAATGGCATCAACGCGGCATCCGCGCCTACATCTTCCAACGCCGGAACCCCAAGTCTGGTTGCGCTCTGCGCGGATGAGGCTCGTTGTCATGGTCCATGGACAACGAAACGAGTGCAATGATCCTCATCTGGCTCTGGCTGCGCAAAAGGGTCACGCCACCGTGGCGGCGCAAGAGAATCATCGAGACGATTCGACCACAGCGCGGCCGCGAGACTCGACTCCAGCGCAGAGCCTTCGTCCTAGTTGAGTCGGATTGTTTGTATTTGCCACGAGTTTTGGGAATCGACGCTGGAATGGAAACATTCCTCGACGACAACGGGTCTAAGACAGTGTCGACGGCGCAGGCTCGGCATAATCAGAGTTTAGTCGAGGAAACCACTACGATCGTCCGGAATTGTGTCCGGAATTGTGTCCTGAACACTATACGAAGTCCGACATGCGGGGCACGAGGGCCGGCCGTGGCAAACGGAGGACTGGTTGTTGTCAAAGATCAGAGGTCTGTATACCGAGTATAACTGTAACAACTGACTCATGAACGAGAGCAGCACAGTGGAGACAAATGTGGACCTTACGATCTAAGCCCGAACCCTTCGCCACGGAGAAGGCACCGTCAAACACCATTAATAAACTGCCACGCTGCGACATTCACTCAACCCTCAATGCCAGTCCGTCCAGACCCATCGTTCTCGACGCGCCCTACACTCACCATGTCCTCATTGCAGCCGACCTGTCAGGAGCAACCTTGCCGCTTTGATCGAGCATCATCAGATTTCCGAAGGCTCTTGGCCGAGATGGCACTGGCATACGTGCGGAAAGGATACCAATAACGTAGAGATGGAGTTCCAATCGGTACACATAGCGGTTGTTGTAGTGTGCCGCGGCTGGTGTGCACGAGGGGCCGACGGAAAGGTTCAGCCTGGATATGCGAAGGACAACCACACATAGCCCAGTGGGTTGGTCCCATCCATCTGGAATGGCCTATTGCAGCGTGTCCCTCCTGAGCAGCCCTGATTCGACGTTGATGATTTGCAACGATGAGATTCAGTTGGAGAAGGAAATGATGTAACAAGGCGGGCTGAGGGCTTCAGATAGTGAGCTGTCGGAGGTCGGCGGGCTCGCCAGCGGGCCAGGTCCGGAACGCAGCCCCGACACTCGATGGAGGTCTGGCGGAGATACACAGTGCTGGGCTTGTGGGATGCCGAGTGCTTTTGTGGGCGTAGTGTGCTGGCGGCGAACTGGCGGATCGGAGGCCACCGTTATCGGGCCCGCCGCCAGCCAACCGACAGCCAGGCTGCGCCTTATCAGCAACGCATCACTGCACCTTTTACCCAAGCATCGCCCTCAGCCCGCCCTGTTCCGCACCCCCAGAGATGGAAGCGGCGGCGGAGGACGACGCCGGATCGCACATCGGCCTGTTCCAGCGCGAGCGAGCGCGTTCAGCTCCTCCCAGCAACCCCCAAGAGCGCCGCCCGAGCACCTTTTCGGGAAGGGTACGCGAGTGCCAGAGATACCGATTTTTCTTTCGACGCCGCCGCGCCCTTGCCATGTAGAGATATGCCTCAGCGCCTACTGTGATATATAGGCCTTCCGCTGCTCACGTTATCGTCATCACCCACACTCTCGACTGTCCCGCCCGCCCCCCCATTCGCTTGCGGGATCTACGCGATTTTTCTGCTTGGCTTGGCAGCACCCAGCTTCAGCCAATCCCCTTGTCCGGGAAACTATCTGCCGTAGACGCCACCCCCGACTACTTACATACCGTCCGTCGCCCTCAGCTTCAGGCTTTGGCACCGGGATCTTGAAGCGCCTCCGACGACAGCGGTCGTCTGCAAACTGAAAAGAGACCCGCGTCTACGCCGCATGAACCGCTGAGCCCCGCAGCCGCGAACGAGGTTCGACCAAACCCTTGTGGAAAAAAAGTCAATCCGGAAATTTTCATCACCATGGATGATTCTCCTGATCGCATCGGGCCTGACACGGGCCCCAAACAGAGCTTTGGAGACAGGGTGAGGAGAGTGAGGAAGGCTTTTACTACAAAGTGAGTGATTTTGGTTATCCATCCAGCGCTTTTGCCCAGTACGCAGTTGAAAGGAATCTGGTGTTTCAATTTGCGGTGAAGCATATGTTCTGAAGGGCACAGTCACAATCTTGGGTACTGACTTGCCTTCAAGGGATGGCCTGATTGGTTCCTACGACTATGCTTTCCTCTTCAGACCAAACATCCCCTTCATCAAGAAGCAGCGCCGTGCCGCACCATTCTTCGGCCTTCATGACAAGATGCCTGTTTTCTTGGCCCTCCTCCTGGGATTCCAGCATGCGCTTGCAATGCTGGCAGGCGTCATTACACCACCAATCATCCTCGCGAGTGCTGCCAATCTAGTGACGGAGCAGCAGCAGTACCTTGTGTCGACGTCCTTGATCGTCTGCGGTATTCTCTCGTCTATTCAGATTACGCGGTTTCACGTCTGGAAATCCCCGTACTACATCGGCACCGGTCTGATTTCCGTCGTCGGCACGTCCTTCTCCACCATACCCGTTGCCACCGGAGCACTTTCCCAGATGTACGAGACCGGCTTTTGTCCAACAGACGCGAATGGCAACAAGCTGCCGTGCCCGGACGGCTACGGCGCCATCATCGGCACCGCCTGCGTGTGCGCCCTGATCGAAATCCTAATGTCCTTCATGCCGCCGCGGATGCTGAAGAAACTGTTCCCGCCGCTCGTCACCGGCCCGACGGTCATGCTCATCGGCATCAGCTTGATCGAGACCGGCTTCCAGAACTGGGCGGGCGGCAGCGGCGACTGCCTGACAAGTCCAACAGGCATCTATGCGCTCTGCCCCACCATCTACGCCCCACGCCCCCTTCCGTGGGGCAGCGCCGAGTTCATCGGACTGGGCTTCCTCGTCTTCGTGTCCATCATCGTGTGCGAGCGCTTCGGCTCTCCCATCATGAAGTCGTGCGCAGTCGTCGTGGGCCTGCTCATCGGCTGCATCGTGGCGGCGGCGTGCGGCTACTTTGACCGCTCGGGCATCGACGCCTCGCCCGCGGCGTCGTTCATCTGGGTGCACACGTTCAAGCTGTCCGTATACGGCCCGATCGTACTACCACTACTGGCCGTCTACATCGTCCTGGCCATGGAGGCCATCGGAGACATCACCGCCACCTGCGACGTCTCCCGACTCCAAGTCGACGGCGCCCTCTTCGACAGCCGCATCCAAGGCGGCGTGCTCGCCGACGGCCTCAACGGCATCATCGCCGGCCTCTGCACCATCACCCCCATGTCCACCTTCGCGCAGAACAACGGCGTCATCGCGCTCACGCGGTGCGCCAACCGCAAGGCCGGCTACGCCGCCTGCTTCTGGCTGGTCGTCATGGGCATCTTCGCCAAGTTCGCGGCCGCGCTCGTCGCCATCCCCTCGGCCGTCCTGGGCGGCATGACGACCTTCCTCTTCTCCGCCGTCGCCGTCTCCGGCATCCGCATCATCTCCACCGTCCCCTTCACGCGCCGCAACCGCTTCGTCCTCACCGCCGGCCTCGCCATCGGCTACGGCGCCACCCTCGTCCCGGACTGGTTCTCGACCGTCTTTACGTACGCCGGCCCGAACCGCGCGCTGCTCGGCTTCTACAACGCCATCGTGCTCGTCCTTGAGACGGGCTTTGCGGTCACGGCTTTCGTCACGCTCATCTTGAACTTGTTGCTGCCTGAGGAGAGCGACGACGATGCGCAGGAGCTGCCCGAGTTGACGGCTAACGAGGCGGATGTCGAGGCGGATCGCGAGGAGTGGGGGAACGTCAAGGGCAAGGAGATGGATGCCGATGCGGCTGGCAGGACGGGAAGTGCGAGTGGGAGCGATATTGCGCCTGCTGCAAAGACGGTTGGGTAATTGGGAATGTGGTTCGGGATGTGGGCGACTTTTTTATTTCTTGTGAAAAGCTAAAGTTGGGACTTCTAGGTGGGAAGTTTGGGTTTCTGTGCTTTTTGGTAGTGTCCTAGGACCGTCGTTTCATGCAGAATGGAAGGTCGCAGAAACAATTAAAGGGCTAAAAGTAGCGTGTCTTTCCAAACCACCGCACATATAAATATGACTTCAAAAATCTCCGCTTCCCATCTCCCGTTCGATTGACTTCCAGCCAGGGCGCTCAAGATACCGCAAAAGAGGGCTTGGTAGCACAGGCTCCCAAGCCTACTGGCGCTTGCGTCTACCCCTTTCGAGCGTTCCCGAACATCGCCGCGGAGGAGCGATGCGGGAGAGCGCCATGTCTGAGTATGTACAGCAGATGCCCGGATTGCCTATTCGGGACTTCCCGTGTCCCCTCCTCCGCCTCATCCCCCGCACTTCCCCGCGGCTGGCGCAACACATATGTAATGAGGAATGCCCCGTTATCGCCATGAATCCGGGATTTCTGAGATAAAATCGTTCTCGTTCATTTCCGACGATATACGTTGAAGTGCTCTTTACCAGAAAGTGATTTGTGCCGACTAGGAAGAAATAAGCCACACTCTCCATTGCTCAACAACTAAACGAACGACCGACGCCCTGAAGGTTCCTGATCGATCGATCCAAGAGGTGTCCGGGACTGTGCACCAGAAAGGCAAAAAGAAAAAGGAGATCAAACAGGCGACGAAGGAAAAAAGGAAAAGAGAAAGAGAGAGGAGATGGCGCCCGCAGAAGCACCCGCGTCCCCTTCCTCCCCGGTGGCGCAATCCACCACCAAGGAAACCTTCCACCTGATCAACGCGCCGGGCGACGCCATCCACGAGGCCCTGACGGGGCTGACGCAACACCACCCGTCGCTGTCGTACGCGCCCACGCACAAGATCGTCTACCGCAGCGACTTGGCCGACTTCCGCAGGGACCACGTCACTACTATCGGTTTCTCTGGTGGAGGACAGTAAGTGCATTCATCCCGTCCCCCTCTCGCTCTCTCCCCCGTCTTCTTCTCGTTCTCTTTGTACATACTTGCCCCCTACACTTTCCCTATCTAGCCCACGCTACACGCTCTCTCTCTCTCTTTCCCTCCCGAACTAACGCAAACACCCCAACCAGCGAACCCATGTTCGGCGGCTTCGTCGGGCGGTCCTTCCTCAGCGCCTACGTCTCGGGCAACGTCTTCGCGTCGCCCACCGCGGCGCAGATCCTCGAAGCCATCAAGCTATGCCAGCCGCTCGACGGCGACAACGGCGACAGCCACCATCAACACCAACATCCCGGCACCCTCGTCGTGTGCGGCAACTACACGGGCGACATCCTCAACGCGGGCCTGGCCATCACGCGGGCGCAGGCGCTGGGGTACCGCGTCGCGTTCGTGCCGGTGGGCGACGACGTGGCGGTGGGGAGGCGCAAGGGCGGCAAGGTGGGGCGGAGGGGCCTGAGCGGGCATCTGGTCGGGCTGAAGGTGGCGTGCGGGGTGGCGGAGAGGGAGAAGGGGGGTGTGGGGTATGGGTTGGAGAGGGTGAGGGAGGTGATGGAGTGGGTGGTGGCGAATGTGGGGACCGTGGGGGTGGCGTTTGATCGGTGAGTTGTTGCTGTTTGCTGTGGAGGGGTGGTGTGGTGGTTTCTTTTTTTTTTTTTTCTCTTCTTCTTCCCCTCATCTCCCTTCCCCGCCCCTCTCTCTCTTTCCCCCTCGCAAGGTTCATGTGACGGCGGCTGGGGTGGGCTTGGGACGAGGGGGGAGTGCCGGGACGGTCCTTTGAGGCACGGCTATGAGGGCGTGTTTGTTCGGAATGAATGAATGGCGAGGCTGACGGGGGGATGTTTTCTCTACAGCGTTTCTCTCCCTACGGGCACCGTGGCTCCAGTCCCTCTCCTCCCGCCCGACACCATTGAGCTGGGCATGGGTGCCCATGGCGAGCCGGGGCTGCAGCAAATTTCGCCTCCCCCAGCGCCGGCGAAGCTCGTCGCGCAGATGATTGACCTGATTACCAACACCGATGACGAGGATCGAGCGTTTGTTCCTTTCCCGGGAGGCGCCACCCCAGAGAACCCTCACCGTGTGGTCTTGGCTCTGAACAGCCTGGGGAGCACAAGCGATGCGGTTCTAGCGGCTTTTGCGGAGCTGGCAAAGGAGGAGCTGGCGAGGAAGAACTATGTCGTTGAGAGGGTTCTGCTGGGTCCGCTCGTGACAAGTTTGAAAATGAGCGGGGTAGGAATCACGGTCTGGAGATTGCCTGGAGATGAGGAGAAGAGTCCACTGAAGAGAGGAGAAGCATTGGATTTATGGGACGGGAACGTCGACGTTGTTGCGTGGAGGCAGTGACTGAGTATGATCAAGATATCCGATGGTCTGAGTAATGGATGCGTGAAGTCGAAATTCTAGGGCCCGGAGTTGCATGAATCAGGTTCCTTGCGCTGGAAGCTGGTGGTATCGTCCGGGGCATTGGTCCTTCATGTTGTGACTGGCATATTGTTCACCTCATTCCGTCATCCCTGAGTAGCCTCACCTCCAGCTGCCCCTCAGTGGCCTATTACTCCCTCAATCAAGTTCCTTCTCCATCTCCTCTGCCAACATCTCCGCCTCCTTCCTCATCTCCTCATCACTCCTCGGCTTTCTATCCGCATCGGGACCCGCAAACCTCCGTTTCTTCTCCGCGACTTGCCTCCTCCTCAACTCGCCGCCAATATCCCCCTCCTCCCCGTCCATCATGTCATACAACTTGTCCCCACCACCCCTCGCTTCCATATCCGCATCATGCCGGGGTATGACATGACAGTGCACATGCTCGACGCTCTGCCCGGCAGCGAGGCCGTCCTGGATGGCAATGTTGAGCGCGTGTGACCCGTAGACGCGCTCTATGACGCGCGAGACGCGCTGCACCGTGGCGAAAAGGTCCGTCACCTCGGCGGACGTGAGCGACGTGAAGCGCGGGACGACGCGGCGCGGGCACACGAGCACGTGGCCCGGCAGCAGCGGCTTGAGGTTCACGAGCGCATAGCTGAGCGGCGTCAGGTGGAAGACTTGCGGCGTCACGACGAAAGGTCCGAAATGGAGGGGGAGGTGGGTGAGAGGATGGGGTGGCATGGTCGCGCGCTTGCGCTTGGTGGGGGATCGATGGGGTCGCAGCGAGGGATATCTGCTAGGTACGTTGGATATAGCGCGGGAACGGACGGCGGTGAGGAGAGGGTGTTGTTGCGGTGGAAAGATAGAATACTCTAGGCGCGTCATCGTCCGTCTGCTTCCAAGCCTTGGCGCGTCGACCAGAAAATCCACCACCGCGCAGCAACGCATTTCCCGCAAACCTCCTCCCCACCATACCAATCGTCTTCGAGACCCCCTCCCAAAGCTCAAGCGCACCTCCGAGGCCTCCCCCAAAGCGCACAACCCCGCCAAAAATCCGACCACACACGCAACCATGACAACAGCCTCCGTCGACGCGCCGCCAGAACCCAGCGCCGCCGCCGCCGCCGCCTCCTCCTCCTCCCCCACCGACGCCGCGGCCACACCACCCGTCCACACCTACCACTGCATCTGCACGCAGCTCCTCCTCGCCACCACCACGCCCCTCTCGTCCCTGCCCCGCCGCGCCAACGGCAGCGACGACTCCGCCCTCCTCGACCGCGCCTACATCCTCCCGCTGCCCGCTCGTCCGCCATCCACCACCACCGCCTCCTCCTCCACCTCCGCCGACGAACAGACTTCGACAGCGGCCGCGGGTGCTGGAGGTGGTAACGGGCACTACGCGATCCTGCTGAACGTGCAGCTCGACCGGCGGCCGCGCATCGTGCGGCGCGAGGACGGGCTCGAGAAGCGGTGGGTGCAGCGCTGTGCGCGGTGCGCGTGCGTGGTGGGGTATCAGTTGGATTGGGCGCATTTTGCGGGGGGCGGCGGTGGTGGTGCTGGTGGTGATGGTGGTGGTGAGAAGGAGGGAGAGGAGGGAGGGGAGGGTGCGGGTGCGGGTCAGGGAAGCAGCAGCCAGACGGGTAGGACGGGGTGGAGGAGGGATGTGGTGTATTTGCTGCCGGAGGCTATGGTGGGGACGGAGGAGATGGCGAGGGAGGGGGGGCTGCAGCAGCAGCAAGGTGGTGGTGGTGGTGGGTTGGAAAAGGGTGGAGGTGGGAAGTGAGGCTGGGTTGGATGGCGATGCGGGATTCTACATGGTTGTGCGGTGTGGGGGGAGGGAGGGAGGGACTGGATCAGTTTCAGTCGAGCCTTCACCGCGGTTTATAGGTGTGCCGTCGGTGCTACAGAACTACAGACGGATGTTGTGGGTTCAAGTGCTCTACTACTCCAGGATATCCGGGTCTGGTAAGCTTCAAAAAGTGATCGGAGGGATGACGGCACCGGTAGGATTATTGGCTTAAAGACGGCTGTGAAAGATAAGGGTAATGAGGGATTATCCGATGTCACGGGAGACTTCGCAAATGATAGAGCGTCGAGAGCACTCAAGGCTCCACATAATCTTACCAAGCGCGAAATGAGATGCGGACGAATGAAGGTTTGAAATCTCAGAAACCGGAATCTCACATGATTATATACACCGTGACGTCCCGTAGAGGACAAAGGAACCAACGTCCAACCACTCGATAATCTTGCCTCTCTGCCTATGACGGACCCTGAGGGATATAACAGTGTTCGCCCGTCTCCTCCACGACGATCTCATCCCCAACGTTGACCTCCCCTTCATCTCCACTCAATGGAACCAACTGCATTCCTAGGCAAGGCCACTTTGCCGCTCCCGGGTCAATCTTCCGGAACTGTGCCATGGTCTTGTACGGCTCGTTACGTTCTAGCTCGGCAGTTGCTGGGTTGACGTTGACCATAGTGCAACGTGCTGTGCGGCAGCTGACGTGGTAGCGTCGCGAGCCAATGCGAACGATGCGCCAATGGTCTTCGGCGTAGGCAGGTGGTCCAGTGACTGTATAGCATTGCATTAGCACGAGATTGTCCGGCGGCAGCGGTTGGGAACTCACGGTAAATGTTGGCTCGGAAGCGGATTGCATCGAGAACTGCGGATTTGGGGGGAAGGCGAGAGGCGACATCGTGAACACTAGCCATATTGATGATGTGGAGGGGATACTAAGGTGGAATTGAGTACGGCTTGGATGACACGGGATCAGGGGTTTGCTTACGGCGTCTGCCATTCCGACGACGGGCTGGTACTCCACATCTTGGCCCTTGCGGGGGGCGCAGCGGTAGACGTTGCGGAAGCGTTGGGGATGGACGCGAAACAGCGAGAGCTGGTTTGATATTCCAAGTGTGTATTTCAGCTTGGCGAGGATATCTTCAGGGATTTCGACTCCCATATTCAGTGCCTCGGGGCATTCGTCCCAGATTTTCATGGGCTCCAGGGGATAGGCTTTCTTTCTAATGCGCTCTGAAGGTGGGTTGAAGGGGATGCGAAAGGAGATGCGTGGGCCATCGTAGTCGAGGTGTTTTTGCATGAGGAAATTCTTGCGAATGGCAGTGCCCAGCCTTTCGAGTGTATCGAGAACCCAGAGCTTGTCTTCCACATACGGGAATGAAATGACAATGCAACCCTCGCTCTTGACCCACTCAGCATTCGGAGAGTAGGTGGGTGACGAAGGGTCGGGAACCCAGAGCTCGGTTGTGATCTTGGTCAGGTGCGGTGACTGACGCTGAGTGATGAAGGACCACTGGTGGGTTATATCCCAACTTCCATCCTTGGCTACGGAGCTGATGAGCTGGGCGAAGGTGAATTGGCGGTCGTATTTCATGCCAGAGGGGACGACCTCGCCGTGGTCAAGCTCGACGGGGTAGCAGCTTTTGACCGGATAGATACAGAGAGCTTTCACCTTCCATGACGACTTGTCCTTGTCGCTGCCTTCAGCATACTTTTGATTGTACTGATCTTGGAAATTCGACTTTCCCGGAGCAAGTCCGATTCGACGACAGCCAGCTGGGGGTTCTGACTCTTCATGGTCTTCCCGATGGATGTCAAGAATTACGGCAGCGATGGAAATGGAAAGAGTAGTAATTAGGAAAAGCGAAAGCGCGGCAGTCCAAACCTCAGCTGGGACTGATGCAAGCATGCTGCCGATTTTCGGAGCAGTTTCTTCCTTAGAGAGCGAAAGGAGGCAGGACAGCAAACTCGGTCGGCTCAGAAAGACAAGTAAAGAGAGTGAGAGAAGGTGTAAGTGATCTTGCGAGGCGACCACCTCATTCGCGAGACACTTTCTCAGAAGTCGAGGTTTCTGAGCGGTCGATGTTGTGTGGCAGGAGGCTTGAACATGGGGGTTTAGCTGAAGGCGACATGTGCATGACTCGGGTAGTGTATCTGCATGACTCGCTCACTCTGACGTCGCGCGTCGCCCACCTACGACGCGTCTTCCACAGCCAGCCCGCGCCTCAACCCGTCAATCCTCACCCACCGCTTGGAATCTCGCTCGAATCTCTTGCAATGGATTCTGTACGCTAACAATGGTTGTTCCGGACACCAGCGCGCCATCTTCCTCGCAGTCTGCCCGTAAGCTTCCAGCCCTTGTAACTCGACAGCTGCTGATCCGACTTTAGACAGGCTCCCCACTTTCTCCGCTTCTCAAGCCCTGCGCACTCTCAGAATCAGTGGACCTCGCGCCATCTCAACCGGCCTCAAGCAGCTCGATGCCCTGTTCCAGCCTCGCACCGCCACCCCGGTACAAGGCGGGCTCAGCCGGGGCCAGGTGACAGAAGTTTACGGTCCTCCGGGTTCGGGCAAGACTGCCCTTGGGTATGTGTACATCTGTATCCATCTCCCAAGCTATGCGCAGGGCTCAGGGCATGCGGCTGAATAGACGATACAAGACTTCAGATAGCCAAGAGTGCACTGCAACGAGGTGGCCATGTTGTGTGGATAGGCGAGTACATTGTACTCCACCACTGGCGTTTGTTGCTGACCATGCAACAGATGCGGCCAAGGATGTACCCAAGACACGTCTAGAGACACTGCTGTCTGCTCCACCGTCTGCCGCCCCCGAAGGACCGAGCTCTTCAATTGACGAGACCCTCTCTGCTGCTGATATGCTCCCGCGATTTCACCATTATTCTACGCCAACTTTAGCCCACCTGCTTGCGTTGGTGGCACATCCAGTTACGGCTTTCCCTCCAGAAGGAACCTGGCTGGTCGTCATTGACTCCGTGTCCACTCTGTTCGACCACGCTTATCCGAGGACCGGTGCTGCCAAAGGAAATAAAAATGATAACACGAAATGGGCAGCGGGTCGGAGGTATGCTGTGATGAGTAGTCTAGTGTCTACACTAGGCAAGATCGCAGCCGTACGCGACATTCCGGTTTTGCTTACGAACCAAGTGGTGACTCGGTTTCGAGAAGAGTCTAATGCATTGCTGGTGCCGGCCATGGCAGGTCTTGAATGGGACAATGGTATCGCGACGCGACTGGTGATTTTCCAAGATTGGCCTCCAGATCCGGGGAGACTGGCTGGTATGGACGATGAGAAGAGGGAAAAAATCAGATACATTGGCGTTGTGAAAGTTGGCGGGATAGGGCTGAACGAAGGCGACGGGCTGGGCGCTGTGATTCCATTCATCATTGAACCTGTAAGTCAGCAAGTCTGTTGCGCATCACCCAGTGCTAACATTCCCAAGTCTGGACTCTCCGACGTCGATCTGAGAACAGCCGAGGTACCGCTTCAGACATTAACGTCACCCGTTCGACCGTCTACCAGAAGGCCTAATGAAGTCCCCGACTCGGAGGAAGAGCTCAGTTCAGATGAGATGTACGGCTGGGGCGAAGATGACGAGCTCGCAGCCGAAGGCCTTCTAATTGATGAAGCTGCCCTTGCCGCTGAACGCTCCGATGAAAGACCAGACCAGCCGCCACAAAAGAAGACCAGGACGGAAGAACCAGCTCGGGTGCTCTCTCCTAGGCAAGAGTGAAGCAACCTCCACAAATCGGTCCGGCAAGGTAGACTCGGCAAAGTGCTCACGCTGGACACGCCAGTGCTCCATACGCATACCAACCGCCGTCTTACCCAACGAACCCTTGTAAGACCAAATTTCCCGATCCCGATTCCCGCTCTACGCTACACTATCTCCTCAATATGCAATGTTGTTGCAGTCGTGCGCGTTGTTGGAGCTAAGATATATTCGTGCCGCTGCTGCTTATATTCTTAAGAAGCTTCTTGGCGGCGGATGCGGAGTGTGCTGTCATGACGAGAGACAGAATGTTGAAGCGCATGACCAATTTGGTTGTTGGGATTTGGTGTCCACGCTTGGACTTCAATCGTCTGCACAAGCAACGTGCGACATGTTACCGTAAACAGGATTGAGGAAAGTAAATTATTTTGGAACTCATGTCGTGGCTAGTTTATCACGAATCATAGAATTATTTTGGCGCGCACGATTTCTGCCCATGCACTTCCATCAGCGCTCAAACATTCCTCACTTGCGCTATCATCCGGACTGTACTCCAGGGCCTTAAGGTAAATTCATGCTACGTAGAAATCCTCATTCCATTTACCAGCTGTATCTCGCCAATTTTGGCCTTGAATTGGAGTGGTAATGTACCTGTCCCTTTCAAGATCCCAGTCGGGTTGTGCACCAGCCTGTTCGGCCGACGGAAGGATTGCCTTGAAGAGAGCTTGCTCCAGTTTTGAGTACCGGAGATCAGGTATTATATGCCCGTAGCCGTCCCTTGACGTATTTGAGTCGAGAGAGATGAACTCATGATGTATGTTGATGCTCAACGATCGGTAAAGGGCCTCCCCAAGCATTCTGGCTATCTTCTGCTTGTCATCCAAAAGCCTGAGCAGTGGGTGCAACGGGTGTTGGACGTCGTCGGCTCCTTCCACAGCCTTCTTGAGGAAATCCCCCCACTGCTTTGTTGCGCTTGCCGTGTGTCTTTTGTTGCTATCCAGGGGGACTGAGCCCGGTAGCTGTTCCAAGATGTGACGGAAATACAGATCTGCGGCAATGCACTTGTACCTGCCCAGTCGCGATTCCAAGTCTCTGATCTTCCGCTCCTTCTCTTCCAGTACGTCAAAGAACGTATGAGAGGCTGGATTGACAGACTTGGCGTGTGCCTGCAGGAGTTGGACCGCTCGCACTGGATTGTCGCGAAGCGTTTGGATCTCCGGAATCCCGAACGTGGACGCTCCAAAGATTGCGACTCGCTTGCCCAGGAGTTCGATGCGATACGCTTCCCCATCGCCAGGGTTGTTCATCACGCTGCACCACAGTGCTATCGCTGTCTCAAAGTGGTCTCCACCGGGCTTGAGTGAGTTGTATGACGTCCAGTTTGAGTGGACGAGGCCTTTGCGATCAAGGTTGAGCGTTTGGTAAAGATGTTCGCGAAGGTCTTGGATTGGCTGGGTTTTGCCCTCCGTCACTTTCTTGCGAAAAGACCTTCGATATACATGGAAATAAAAAGCGTTGATGAGATCAGCGAGCCTCCCTATGACGGATTTTGAGTTAGTCTCGGCATGGTACTTCTCCGTTTCTGGGAATCCGCGATAGACTCGGTAGTTCTGTTGCACAAATTCATCAGCCCATGGGATGGCTTCTCTTCGCGATTTCAGCGGTGAGGGTCCGGCTATGCACGGGAAGATGAAACTCCGAAAGATCCTTCTCCCGTACCGGGAGTTCGCATCTACACGCCAGAAGTCAGGCGTCCATGCCGTTAACGGGTTGTAATCTGGCCGGTGTTCGGGAGGTTTCCAGAGGTCTTCAAGTGGTGTCTCCTCGCGGTCGGTTTCCGAAGAACCTGTCGAACTTCGATACGGCTGGCAGCAGTCTTTCAGCTCATTTGTTGGATGTTCATGCGATGTTACTGGCGCTTTTCGTGTTGCTCGGGTTTTGTCTGCATCGCTCTGAGGGTCAACGTAGGATGGCATTGTTTCTGAGTCTGTGAAACCCAACGACATCTGAAACCTCGGATCGGAAACCCAATTTGGGAAGCAAAGGGATGAGATTTCGGGGCTGGATGTCTTAAATATTAGCAAGCGGTCTACGTGACATACAGCAGAATACTTAAAAAAAAGAAAGAGAAAGTAAACGTGTCATGCCACTTCTACTTTAGATTACAAAGTTTGTTGAGATACGACGCATTAGAATCGATCATGGAGTCAGGCTGTATGTGGATCTGATGTTGCGGGAGGGACAGCCAACGGCATACTGCTGACAACAACTCACCAGCCACAACCGCACACAAGAGATCTTGTTAACTATTAGCGAACAGCTCTCCAAAAAGCAAAGTTCGACTCCTCGCCACCTGCCACATGGCCTCCCTGCGACTTCTTCCACGCGACAGAAGGCTATGCAAGCATGCACAACAACAAGCAACCGCCTCCACAAAGAATGAGACACGACAGCAAGATGCAAAGTTGCGCAAGGTTGACTGAACGGCAAGGGGAATTTGTTGTAAAAGTGCGGAGAAGCATGCAGAAATTGATTGATGTTCCTGATGACAAGGCTGACACGTCGAATCCGCACGTGTGCCTATGATTTCTAGTCCTCTTGCATTCTTGGAAGCGAAAGATGGCAACGGGCCTATCGGATAATTTACTTACGTCGTCGTTCAATGAGCTGGGCTGAAGATGCTGAGCGGGATAGGCAGCCTCGCTGTGCCGGATCCCCGCACCCTGTCCCATATCCGAATCCTACATGCTGGGGCGGGGTAACTTGCAGCAGTTTCAGCAAGTAGCAATGAAAATGACATGCGCCCGAATCCAGGAACCACAGTTGATGCGCATAAACTATTGCCAAGATGCACACATACGTCAGCCGCAGATTTCGAAGCTGAGAACGGCGACGTCGGATCGCTTTCTTTTACTTATAGTAATCCATTCAGCTCTGCTTCTTATAGAAGAAGGTAACAGTACCAAACGCTCCTGTTGAGCTTGATGAAGAATAGTTTAGACCCTACCTACATCACGTATGGAACTGGTGCGCGAGCGGGAGCCAAGAAAGGAGGCGCTTTTGGCTCTGAGGCCGTCCCTGGTTGCTTATATGCATATAAGCTCCTGACCCAGATCATGATCAGAGCTAACCTTGTTTTTTTTTTTCCTGCAGTCAGCTCCGTCTTGGATACCTGAAGCCATGATCCTATATATTCCGGCACTGTGTCTGGTCAGTCATGCGTAGCCAAAGGCGTTCGTCAACATCCGAGCTCAACGCCTTCGGATAAACCGACTCATCGTATACAAGCTTTGAAGGGGCTATAAAGTAGATCACAGTTCCTTCCTTCCAAGAACTACAAACGCACTTCCTCTGTCGTTCATTCCCCATCGCCAACTCCGCCTTCCATTCTCTCAAAATGTCGTCCCTCAGCAAAAAGGCCCTGAACTGCTTCGTCGGAGCCTGGGGCTTCATCAACTCATCGCTCGTGTACGCTTCCACCCTCCGTAATCCCCGCCTCCACACACACACACACACACACACACA